AAGCGGAACGGCTCCTTCTCCAGGTTTTCGATCGGCTGGATGTCGAAGGCCGCCAGCTTCTTCTTGATGTCGTTGTGCCAGTCCAGGCCGCCGACGCACCGCAAGCAGGCAGCGTCAAACATCAGCTTGCCGCCCGACTCCTTGAATAGGTCTTCGACGTTGATGTAGATGAGCGCCGAGCCCGTCGCAGCCGTGTGGCATTGGTTGTCCTTGTTGATGTAGAACGAGGCTGCCGTCACCTCCTCGGGGATGTCGGGCAGCGCGTTGCCGAAGGTGACCTTCCTCCGAGCTCGCGCCGCTCTCGGCTGCTCGTGCTGGTAGACCGCCGCGACCGTCATCTCCGCGACGTGGGGCTCCTGGGCGTCGCCGGCCCCGTCGTTCGTAGTCATGTTCGTTTTGTGACTTCCTTTTCGCGGGATGTCGGCCCTCGCGTTGGGGTCGTTGTTCTTGGAGCACTGCGGGTCGCCGCGCCAGTGGCCCTTCTGGCCACGAGCTCCACACTGCGTCCTCGTCTTCATCTTGGCCATCCCGGCATCGTCCTTCTTCGGCGGATGCCCGCCGTCTCGCTGGGCGAAGTAGCCGCGAGCCTGCTTGGCCTCCTTCAGCTTCTCCTTGGCGCGCGCCATCTTCTTCGTGAAGAAAGCCACCTGCTCCTCCGCCTCGTCTATCACGTCCTGCAGCTCGTCCGGCATGTCGTTGTCGTAGCCTTCGGAGCTGTCGGTGGACGCGCCGTCGTTCTCGGCCTCTTCGTAGGCCTCCGTGGCGTGCACCTTCTTGTGGTCCTTCTTGTGACCTCCGTAGCCCCCTTTGTCGTGGTGGTGCTCTTTGTTGCCGTCCACGCTCGATATTTTGGTCAAATTGATCATGAGCTGCTCCTGGATCTTCGTCGTTTTGAACTTGTTGCCCACGCCGGCGGCAACTCCGAATGAGAGGTGTCAGTCGCAAGATTATAAGCTTTCAGCTCCGAACGGGAGGTGCCAGTCGCAATGAACTCAGTCGCGATCGCGAGCTTGTAGTGTGCCTATATTGACTCTGCGAAATAGCGCACGTTGCCGTGGTCGAGTTAGCTCTTGCTACCAATGTAGACCCAGTACTGCAAAATGGGGTCGTAGTGCAATAATCACCACGCGGTTGTATGTCAGCAGAGCTATAGCAACGATACCAATAATATCCGCAATGGATGGCGAAATATGGCTGCTTAGCGGAACCCGCGATGGCCCCTACCGATACGCCCAAGCTCAAGGGCTCTGGAACCCTGGATACGAAAGGACCTGTTACCTCTCATCTGAATATTAGCACGCTCTGCTTTCTTGCTGGCATGCTATGCTACACTGCTTACAGATCAGCAGGGACACTCTATATTTCACATCCCCTCTCTCCTCCAACGTCCCTCCCTCCCTTCCCGTCCACCGCATCGTGGTTATGAGCAAACTCCAGCTAATTCGCTCGCCCTCTCATCCTCGTCCTCCCGTCCCCGTCCTCCTCCTCGTGCGTTTCGTCTTCTACCTCGTCGTCCTCGTGCTCCTTTTGTGTTCCGTCGTCGTCGTCGTCCTCCTCCTCCTCCTCCCTTCCTCAGGTGGCGCAGTCTGGGCATGTGCTTCTTTGTTCCCGGTGCGCCGCGCACACGTTTCTCCCAGGTGGCAAAATGCAGCGGTCGGTCTGCTCACCCTTCGACTGAGGGTAGCCGGCCCTCGAAAGGCAAGTTTGCTGCCCATGGTCATCATCCTCGCAGGGGCAAGGCCTTGGATCCCAGGGCTGGACCTCAACGCTGTTTTGCTGGACTTTGACTTTGTTTTGTTTTTCGTTTTGGCAGGGAGGTTCAGATAACAGGTCGAGCAAAACGAAAAAGCAACGTTTACATTCAGCCCTGTTGAATCCTGTGCAGTCAGTTTCTGAGGAGGGGGCCCTGTCAGTCCACGGTCGGGCTCCGTCACATCTGAGCCGTTGGACGCAACACTGCCGTGCAGTGGGGGTCCCTGCCAAGGAACGCCCTGCCTGCCTCCAGGCTTGGCATCGCTCGGACGTGTGCATTTTTCCTTCGGCGAGGACCATCGGGGAGCATCCTTGATCACTTGGCGAAACAGCGCGCACGAAACCGACAAAAAGCACAGGGAATGGACGTCCGAGCGATGGCCTCCAGGGCCCCGTGGGCCTCTTGGGCTTCGACGGCTCCGCCGTGGAGGGCGCGGCGCCCCCGCGCCGAGAAGCGTCCGTGGACGTCCTGGGGCCTCGGGGCTGGGCTCCTCGTGGGAGGTCCTCCCTCCTGCCGTGGAACCTGCCGCGGATGCGGCCCTTTCCTTCTCAGCCGGACGAGGGGGACTCTGGTCGACACTCGAACGGCAATACGCACACCCCACGTAACGACACTACGCCGACATTCACATCCAGGACTTCCCTCCTCCTCTCCTCCGTCGCAGATTTGTTTTTATTGTCTCGCTGTCCATATGCATGATCGCGTGTAGTCCATACGTACAGGTTTGAAGAGGCTACGGCCTCCTCCACCAGGTCTCGAGCAGGCCCGGACAGCTGTCCGCAGTGGTGGTTCGTTCGTTCGTTCGGACGAGGGGGAGCAGAACGGATTCACCGATGTTTCGTCCGAGTGTATTGCGAAGGTATTGCGAAGGCCTTGCGGCCATTGCCGCCTACCCTGAGTGGCGACGACGACGACGACGAGCGCTCTCGGGGGCCTCTTTGGGGTAGTTTGGGGGCCTCTTGGGAAGCTCTGGGGGGCCACATGGAAGCCTCGTGCGGGAATGTATTTTCATCCTTTTGAGTTTATCCCCTTAATCTCATCCGTATCATTTCATCCGTTTCATTTCATCCGTTGAATTTCGTCCAGTCCACATTCATCGGGTTTAGATTCGCCCGGGTTGGACGGTGACGACCCGCTCCTGCCTCGGCTGCTCGCTCGCTCGTCGGCCCGCTCGCTCGCACACCTTCCCCTGGCTGCTCCTCGAAGTCGTGGGCTTCGTCTGCTCCCGCCGGTCCTTGTGCCCGGCCATCCTCCTCCTCGGCCTCCTCGTCGCTGTCCTGGGCCCCTCGCCGCCACCGCGGCCGCGGCTTCGCGCCCCTCGTCGTCCTCCGCCTCCCGTCCCGTCGCACCCTCACCGCCCTCCCTCCCCAGGCCCGCCCTCTCCCGCCCTCGCTCCCTTCGGCGATTGCAAAGGGTGTGGTTACGCCGGGGTGTGGTTTGCGATCGGCACCGTTGGGGCCTGGGGGGCACGACAGTGTCCTCGTCGGGCCTCCTCGGGGCGCGGGAGAGCTCTATCCAGGTCCCCGCGTGCCCCCCAAGGTGCCCCCCAGGATGTTCCCCAGTGTGCCGGTCGCAAACCACACCTTTTGCAAACCACACCCTTTGGAGTCGCCGATCCCTGCCCCCTCGCAAATCTCCTCCGGGTCCTCTGCCCCGCTCGTCCCGCCCTCGCTCGCTGCCTCTCCGCACGTCGGGCGGCTCTGCGCCAGAGCTGTATGCCAGGGGGGGTGGGCGGAGGAGGGACGGACGGCAGAGAAGGAGGACGAGGCGGAGGAGTAGGGGGATGATGATGATGCTGATGATGATGCTGATCATGATGATGATGATGATGATGATGATGATGATGATGATGATGATGATGATGATGATGATGATGTTAATGATGTTGATTCTGATGCTGATGATGATGCTGCTGCTGATGATGCTGATGCTGATGCTGTTGCTGATTCATCATTATGATGATGCTGCTGGTGATGATGCTGATGATGTTGATGCTGCGGATGATGAAGCTGATAATTACGATGATGATTACGATGTTGCTGATGAAGCTGCTGTTGATGATGATGCTGAGGATAATGATCATGATCAGGGTGATGGTGATGAGGATGATGCTCATCATCATCATCATCATCATCATCAGGATGCGGCTGGTGATAATGATGATGATGATGCTGATGATGTTGATGCTGCATGATGGTAATGATCATGTTGACGATGAGGATGACGATGCTGATGCTGATGATGCTGTGTTGATGATGATGCTGATGATGCCGATGATGAGGTTGGACATGATGACGCTGATGCTGATGTTGATGCTGTTGCTTATGTTGATGATAATCTTGCTGGCGATGCTGATACTGGTGATGCTAATGCTGACGATGTAGTTGATGCTGCTGCTGATGATGATGGCGATGCTGCTGATAAGGTTTGGAATGCTGGTGATGATTATGATGCTACATCTAATGATGACGATGATGCTGCTGATGATGATGGTGATGGTGATGCTGCTGATGCTGATGATGATGATCGTGATGATGATGATGCTGATGATGATGTTGATGATGGTGCGGACGATAATGGATGCTGATGACGATGAACGTGATCATGATGATGTTGATGATGATGCTGACGATGATGATGGCGATGCTGATGCTGATGATGAAGCTGATGATGACGATGCTGCTGCTGATGATGCTGCTGATGACGATGATGACGATGGCACATATGATGAACATGCTACATATGCTTATGCTGATGGTGCTGATGATGATTCAGATGATGATGCCGACACTGATGCGGCTGCTGCTGTTGCTGATGATCATGATGATGTTGATGCGTATGTTGCTGCTGAAGGTGATGATGATGGTGATGATGATGACGATGCGGATGATGATGACGATGATGATGATGCTGCTGTTGATAATGGTGATGGTGATGATGCTGATCGTGACGATGACGATGACGATGACGATGCTGCTGATGATGATGTTGATGATGCTGATGATGGTCATGATGATGGTGACGACGATGCTGATGATGATGCTGATGGTGATGATGATGCTACTGATAATGTAGATCATACAGGTGAAGGGATAACGGCGATGGTGCTGGTGATTGTCAGGCGGAGGAGGTAAAGGATAAGGTTGAGACGGCGCAGGATGAGGGAGACGGAGTCGGGGGACAGGACCATGAGGCTTGGTGCGTGGTCATTTGCGGCACATCCGCGGATCTGCATGTGCTTGTTAAGGCGCACCTGGACTTGGATCCGATCGATTACCAGGACATCGTGTACTGGTCCAGGCCTGGGCAGGAGGATGGGGAGGCAGGAGCAGGAGTTTGATCAACGTGTTCGGCACGAGGAGGAGGAGGTGGAGATGGAAGTGGAGAGGAGCAGGAGGAGCAGGAGAAGGAGGAGGAGGAAAAGGAAGATGAGGATACGCGAGAAGCAACATCAGGATGATTACAAAAAGGAGTATGTGCAGGAGCTTCTGGAGGAGTACCGGGAGGAGGAGGAGGGCGAGACGAGATTTCTTTCGGTCCCTATCGTCGCGCAGCCTCCCAGTGTAGCTGGGGTTCGCGGGTGAATAGAGCGCGCCCCCCGCCGTCTGCAATTTGACCCTCAGACCGCTCAGACTATGTCCGCAGAGGTGTGGCTGATGGACGCCGCTGGCTAGAAGATGTTCCCCGTCGTCGTCGTCGTCGTCGTCGTCGTCGTCGTCGTCGTCGTTGGGGGATCGAGGAATCTCGAGGATCGAGGAGGGTCGAGGATCGAGGAGGGAGCTTGGGGCTTGGAGCTTCCTTTCGGCCTTCTTCAGATTCTCTTGCTGGCTGGCTGCCACGAGCATATGTGCATGTAGGTATAGAATATGTATGGTCACGGGTCCCACTGAGACCTACCTGTATTATAACATCGAATCATATTGTTCAGCCAGCGTTCGTCATTTAGTTGCTTTGCTTTTTCATGTTCAATTGCCGAACAGTTCCAACCCTTCTGAGGGATTGCAGCATCAAGTGACTTGCGTACACCTATAATTGAGCCAGCGCCTGGTCTTTCTTTTTGTTTCATTGATTCGTTTGTTTGCTGACGGTTTTGTTCGAATTAACATATTTCAGCTTGTTTGTGAAGTAACATAAGTTTGATCGATGCTGATGCGTTCAAAATGGCGGAAGCCATTCAGTCGGTAACGAATCCACTAACTGAAACCATTGGGTTAATCCAGTGGAACAAATGTAAAGATGCGCCTGGGTTTTATTCCGTCTGTTCAAATTGTTCAATACTCTCCAGCTTTTGTAGATTCCGCACGTTCAAACCAGTCTGTCGCATGCGACCAGTACTTCTTGAACCCCTAAATTGGTGAAGCAAGTGGGTTGGATCAGTTAAATTGCATACCGCGCCTGGCTCGGGCTCCGAATTCATGTGATTGGCGTCCGTTATATATTTTGTTCATGCGCTAATTACCGATAGCGTGGTGTCCGATTCTTGGACTACGTAAGGATCTTAACAACATGAAAATAATTCAAGCGCCTACTTTTCGTAGAAATGTGATAACTTGTTGCGTTCATTCAGAGACGCGCGGTCTCGGGCATCTTTCGTACATGCATGTTTGAACCACTTCAGCAATGGGAAGGGAATTTGTATACATGAAATCTGTTTACGCCGGTGCCATAACTGAACCAGTTGGGTATATGGTTCCCCCAAAGCGAATTAGTATTATAACGTCCTTTTGTGAGCCGGTATTTACAGTACTTGGCTCAATTGGCTTATGCGTCGTATTACATCGGTCAGGGCATCATACATTATCGTCTTGCTCAATCTAGCATGATGAATTTGTGTGCTTGGCCAGATGATACACCTGAATGACTTAGCCGGCCGAGTGAGCTGAGCAATTGGGCTGGACAGTTGAGCTCCATGAGTGTGCTGGGCCTCGGGGTTGTGAAGCGCCCCGGCTGGATCATTCAATCGGTTGGCTGCTCACCCCGCCTACTTGGATCGCGGACGCCGATCAGCGTGCCGGGTTATCGCGAGAGAAGCGCCCCGGAATACGCGCGAGGTCTAATCCGTGGTCCCGGCAATGGGGCGCTCTGGAAGCCGCTTTGCATGGTTGGGCCTGATGCTACTTGTTGATCGCAATACATACAGTAAGGAATCTCAACCAGTTGGACAAGATGGGTCGACATAGTCAAAGGCGCCGTTTCAGTTTCTCCGATGCGACGATCCCTGCATGCGATGATTTTCCCAGCGCGCCGCTCTGGCCACTGCGTCCATCGCCTACCACCTGAGCCGCCGCATCGGGGACGTCGTTGGTCGAAATAAGACACCCCCATACATATCCATGCGTTTGCATTTTCGTTCTAACATATCCATTGGAATTCCAGCGCGCGCGCGTCCGCGACGCCATCGCCTTCGCGAAGATGCCTCGCCCACTTCGACCTCTGTCAATTTTTGTTTGTCGTCAATGGCCGTCTCCGATTGCCGCTTCAGCGCGAATCTACGAACTGCTGCTCGGAGCCATTTCACGGTTATGCGCGCTGCAACTTTTCTCGGGATGCCCGCGGGCAAATGCTGATTGCCCGGCGGAGCCCCTAGTGAAAACAGCTTCTGCGCCGGCTTGTTCAGCGCGGTTTCCGGGCTTGCCCCGCCCAGGAGTGAAGGTCGGGCGGCGCGCGGGCGGACGCGCGAACTCGCGGCGACGCCTCGCGCTGCGCCCGCCCGCCCGCCCCCGTCGAGAGCGCGCTCCGCAGCGGCGTGCCCGTGTCTTTCAGCAGCAATGCTTCGGGGCAGGTGGATTGTCTGTCGCTCTGTCATTTGCGCCGCCTTCGTCGCAGTTACGCGCCATTCCTGAGCGCGAGATCCCGCGCTTTTCCCGCCTGCGATCTGGTCGACGGGCGCGCGCGGAAGCATCTTCGGCGCGAGTCAGCCTCGCCTTGCTTTGATCTTAGCCGACAGGTCGTGGCGGGGCCTCCCTCTGCCGCGCTTCGGCGACGGAATCGAACGGCGGGGTCTCGGGCAATTTCGAACAGAACCATGCGTTTCCAGGCGCGCGCAGTTCCCCATGTGCGCAACCAGGCGGAGCGCTCCACAGTGCTTTCTGCGTCTCCATCGAGAATTGCGCGCGCCCCGTCGCATGCTCGCGGCCAAGCAACGCGGGTCGCCGCGAGTCTCTCATCGCGCGTTAGACACCAACCCATTGACGTTACCAGCCTGGAGCATATCCCCGCCCCTGTGTTTGGCATCGCCTCGCTTCGATGCCGATGTTACGGATATCCTTCAGATTCCGAAGGCGCATCCATATGATTGCCATCGCTTTCTGGCTCGCCGACTTCTACGGGTGTGGTTCTGACAGTGCTTCCCCAGGATCATGGATCGGGCGCAGATGGGCGTCGCCCAGCATGGCTGCCTGCTTGTAAGCTCGCACTTTCATGCACATGGCATCGCGGTGGCCCCATGCGCGCGAGGCCGCCTTCGCCGCGGCGGCGGCCGCGCTGCCCGCTCTGCGAAAAACGGCCTGCCTTCAGTATGGGTGGCGAAGCTTCCTGAACACGTATGGCGCCCTTCTCGGCCTAGATCGCACCCGCGAGTGATTTGCGGCGCTTGCGAGTGATTTTCGCGCGGTGCCCAGCGGCCGTGCAAATCGCAAACTCGCGATATTCCGCGAGTTTCTCGTCGCGGGGCGCGTCGCCCGCGTCGACCCCGAGCCCGTCGAAATGCATGCCCAGGCGCGCGGCGCGACTGCCTCCGCTGGGCGGGTGGCGCGCCAGCGCTTCCGTCGCGCAGTCTTCGCCTGAGGCCCGCGTAGAAGACGACGCAGCGGCAGCGGGGGGCTGCGCTGCTCAGGCTCGCCCGCCACCAGCTGCGCGCAGTTGGGGTTCATGGCTGCGGCTAACCGTCGCATCTGCGTTCCATCTTGTCGGGGGGGCCTCGGGAATGGGGGCGTCATGTAATATTGTTGTAGCTTGCCGCCGTTGACCTCCTCGATGCGCGCGTCAATCCCGCGCCCCCGAAGAACTCTGGGTCGCTGCGGCGCCTCGGCGCTGCTTGACTGCGATATCCCGCGCTGGCACTGCGCCGAGAGCGACAGCTCGGCGGGCGGGGCGGCGCCTGCGCCTGCCCGTGTCTTCGACGTGTGCTCCGTGATTTCAGCCGGCGAATGCTCTTGTTGCTGTCGTTTTGTTGGCATGTAAACAACATTATCAGCAATGCCCCTGCGGCCGCCCCGCATCTGGGCAGCTCGGGCAGGGGGCTCGGCGTTTCTTCCTATTCGGAGTCAGAAATTTGCCGATTGCGCCGGGTGCCGGCGGCGTGCTTTGGACCTCATGATTCCGATTGGTTTGCAGCATGCCCCGCGAGGTCTCCGCGCGCCATGTTCCCAGAGAGTTCCGCGCTGTCATCGCCTTCGGCGCCGCGCCCGCCGCGGCGCGGCCGGGGTCGCCAGCGCGGCGCGCGGCGCCCCCCGCCGCCGCCCGCGACGTCGAAGCTCGCGGGCTGCCGCGAGCCCCGCGCCGCAGGCGCAGCTCCGAGGTGTCCGCGCGCCCGCTTCACCGCGACGCCTGGACCGCGGCGGGCGCGCCCCCCCAGATGGCGGCGGGGGGGGATGCGCGCTCGTGGCGCGGAGGTCTGGGTGCGAGCGATTTCGCGTCCTTGTGTCCATCGGCTCGGGGCGCGTCGACGGGGCGGGCGCGCCGTCGGCTTCTTTTGGGGGCAGCGGAATTTTCTCCTCGGTAGATTTCGCGCAGGTCTTCGAGGCCACCGGCGAGGGGTGGCAGGTCGCACCGCGGGGCCGACGGCGGAGAAGCCCCGGGGGCGGCCGCGACCTGGCCCGCCGCGCTGCAGGCGGCACCTCGGCGCAGCGAATGGATGCGTTGGAGGCGGGGGGCGCCGGAATCCAACGCGCGACATTCAGACAGAGCGCGCCTGCTCAGACTGCGCTCTGAGCCAACTCGGCCACGGATGCAATCTCCCGGAGGGAAATCCCTCGAAGCCGCGTTGCCACTCCAGGACTGATGGCCGCATGACAGCACCGTCGCGTTGAGCGCGCAATCATCCGGGCGCGGTTTTGCATTTCTAATGGCGACGCGCTCCTTCTTCGCCCTGGCAGCCGCGGCCCGTCTGCGCGGGCGCGGTCTCTTAGGTGCGGTCGCGTTGGATTACGCCGCGGCGTTTTGGAAAGGCGCCCCTGTTTGGGGCGCCCCTCCTGGGTTAGATTGTTGTGCCTTGCCGAGTTCCAGCTGGGCCCCTTGCTTGGCCACGTCTGGAAATCCCATCGAGGGCCCCCTGTCTGGTTTCCCATGTGGGCCCCTTGCTGAAGCCCCTGCGGGGTCCCTTGCTGGGCCCCCGTCTTGAGTTCCATAGCTGGGCCCCCCTTTCCTAGGTTCCCTGATGGGCCCCTTCCGGATTTTCCTCCTGGGCCCCTTGCTTGCCCCCCTTGCTGGGTTCCTTTCTGGGCCCCATGCTGAGTCCCCTCCGAAGTCCCATGCTGGGCCCCCTCTTTGAGTTCCCTTGCTGTGCCCCCTTTCTGGGTTCCCTTATGGGCCCCTTGCTGGGCCCCCTCCTGGACCCCTGCTAGGCCCCGCCCTGAGTTCCCTTGCTGGGTCCCTTCCCTGGGCCCCTTCTAGGTCTTCCGCGCGCCCCTGTGGATGTGCGCCTAGGCGAGCCGTGGAGCACAATGATGGGCGGAGTCACGGGGGGAGATTGAGGGGCGAAATGAAGGGTGGATGGCAGATGAGGGGCAACCGAAGCAATGGGGCAATTTTTGGCGGTGGAAGAGGGGGGGTGAAGAGGACGCGGGGCAAAACGCGAATGGGGCAGGGGCGAATCATGGGGGGCGAGTGCAAAAGCGGATTAGGGGGAGGGGGATGGGACAGAGAGGGAGAGAGAAAGAGAGAGAGAGAGAGAAGGAGCCAGCAGCCCCCGGGGAGCTTCCCAGCAGGTCGAGCAGCCCGGGAAGGGGCTTCCCAGCAGCCCGGGGAGTCCGAAATGCGTTCGGGGGGGATGTGTGTGTGCACATGTGAATTTATTCTGCGTATGTATGCATGTGCATGTGTATGTATGTATGTATGTACGTATGGATATAAAATGGCAACGCCTTCCAACGTCTGAACGTCCCAAGTGCGTTCGACGCTCGTTTTACATTGTAATGTATTGTTAAACGATGTCTACATCCGTGCAATAATTGATTTGCATGGAAACTCCTTGAAAGACGCTCTTGGGCAGTCTTGGGCCTGTCGTGGCCCGAGAAAACGAAAACCGAAAACAACCTTCAAAGCTTTTCAACAAATCAATGAGTTTTGCCTCTTTGGGTCTTCCCTTTTGGGCCGTTTTGGGACTCTCTTAGGCCGTTTTGGGGGGCCTTTTCGGGACGTCTTGGGGCGTCTTGGAGGCCTTCGGCCGTCTTCGGGCTATCTTGGGGGCCTCTTGGGGCCCTCTTGGGAGCCTCTCGGGGTGCTCCTGCGACTTTCTTGGGGCCGTCTTGGGGCTTCCTTGGTGGTTTTAGGGCCCTCTTGGGCCGTCTAGGGGCCTTCTTGGGCCGTTTTCGAGCTCTTTGGGGGGCCTCTGGGGCCGTGTTTGGACGATCTTTTGGAGCCTCTTGGGCCGTCTTGAGCCGTTCTTGTCCCGGAAAAGCGAAAACCGAAAAGCCCTGAAAGACAATTGACAAATCAATGAGTTTTGCCTCTTCGGGCCCTCTTGGGCAGCCTCTTGGAGGCTTCTTGGGGCGTTTGGAAGCCATGTTGAAGGTTTTGGTGTGCTTTGGAACTGTCGACGAGCTGTCTTGGGCAATATTGGAGGCCTCGTTGGACCTTCCGAGAAGGCCAGAAGGCCGAAGGAACCCTTTGCAAGGGCGTCCGAGCAGCCCGGGGGGGTCTTCAAGCAGCCGGGGGAGTCCGAAATTCGTTAGGTGGGAGAGGGGTGCGCTTTTTCCGGGGCCCCCTGCCCTACACAAGAATAATCATAGGAACATGTGTAAATCATGTATAGGTGTGAACCCTTGCGCCGCGCTTTCTCTCAAGAGGCATCGCCCAGTTCAGAGGGACCACCCCCGCTGTTTTATGTCTGTTTGCATGTCTGTGCACATGTTTATACGTGTGCATACGCAGACACATATGTTTGTACGTATGCCTATTCTATGTATAGACGCATCGTTGTTGCCGGTCGTTTTTGGACTGTCCCAAGGACTTCTTGGGACCGGGGCGCCCGCGGATGCGCGAAGTTGTTCGCGCTTCGCTGTTTGCTCCCGTCCTCGTGGTTCACCACGCGAGGGTGCGGGGTTATTCGCGCTTCGCGGTTGGCGGTCTGGGCGATGTCGGACCGAGGGCGAGGGGCGGGCGGGGGGACGGCGTGAGAGCGCAAAGTTATTCGCCGTGTGCTTTGCGCAGTGCTCGAGCGCGAAGCTTCAGGAGGGAACAACAACACGCAGACACAATCAATCGTCGATTCCCCAGAACATATGGGAAACTATGGGAAGTGGGGGGGGGAAGGCAGAAGCCCCCGACACATGGGAATCTATGGGGAATGGGTTTTATATGTGTGTATCTATTTGTGTGGCCTGGGGCCCCTTTCAAAGTTAGCTGCCGCAGGTTCCCTGCCCTCCTGTTCGCTCTCCTGGGCTACCCTTAAGTCGGGCCTGTCCCCCTACATGGGGATTTTCGACGAAAAATAAAAAACAAAAATAACCAAATAATGATCCAACAAGAGTCTGGGGACTATTTTTTATATTGTTTGACCTTTTGGGGGTATTTCTTCTTTTCGTCGAACATCCCCCTGTATGGGGACAGGCCCGACAGAAGGCTCCTCCTCCGCCGATCCGCCCCACGCGCGGCGCGCGTGCCGCCCCAGGCGTCGGGCGAGCGTCCCCCCGCGAAGTCCTGGCCGCCGGGACGGCCGCCCGGCAGTCGGGGCACGATCCGTCCTGGTCTCTCCCCCCCCCCCCATGCCCCCTTCGGGCCGGACGAAAGGGGGAATTGGGAAAGGGGGGGGTACGAAATTTGCTGCATGCAGCTGGTTTCGGCCTCACCGAGGGGCCCATTCCTCGATACACCAGCCCATCCTACACCAGGCACTCGAACGAAGAGCGCCGATGATCGGCAGCTGTTCTTCTCCCCCTCTTCCTCCTTCTCCTCCGCCTTCCTCCTCCTCCTCCTCTCCTCCTCCCTCTTCTCCTCCTCTTCCTCCTCCTCCTCCTCCTCTTCCTCCGCCTCTTCCTCCTTCCTGGTGGCGTCTTGGAGGTATCTTCGAACGGTTTGGTGGGCTCTTGGGCCTTGCGGGCAGGCGGGCGGCGCTCCGCCCGCCCGCGCGCAGGGCCCAAGAGGAGAGTCCAAGACGTCTCTTGGAGCCATTTAGGAGGAGATCGATCAACGAAGGAGGGTCCCTCAACTTGGCTCGCCCCCAGGGTAACCCCAAATTGGCCCCAAGATGTCCCAAGATGGCCCCAAAAGGCCCCAAGATGGCCCAAGATGGCCCCTAGATGGCCCCCAGCTGGCCCCAGGATGGGTCTAGCTGGCCCAAGATGGCCCCAAGATGGCTCCTTCGGGGAAGCTTGGAGGTGGAAAAAGGCTCTTACGCTTGACTCTGGAAAACCACTGATTTCACACCATTCTGAAAAGTCAAGAGTAAGATCCGAATTGGAAGCCAAGGTAACCCCAAAATGGCTCCAAGATGGCCCCAAGACGGCCCCAAGATGGCCCAAAATGGTCCAAAGATGGCCCAACATGGCCCCACGAAGCAGTTTTTGGGCGTCTGGGGTCCTTTCAGACGCAATCGGGGCGCTCTGGGGGGGCATCTTGGAGCAAATCTATCAAAGAAGAGCAGAGCTTTAATTAGCGTTGCCCCTCCAGACTGTCGAAAATCGCTTCCTGGACCCCTCTTGGATCGCTCTTGGAGCGCTCTTGGACGCTGTTGAGGCAGTCTTGAGGCTCTCTTGGGCCCCTGTTGGGGCCCAGTTGGGACATCTTGGCGCCATCTTGAGGCCTCGGATGGGCTTCGGAAGCGAAAAAGTGATAACACCAAAAACATTGATTTTCCCTAGGGTTTTGAAGCATTTCTGCCTTTTGAGGGCACTCTAATGATGCTCTTGTGGGCACTTGGAACCATCTTGGAGCGGTCTTGGAACGTGTTGGAGCGTCTTCTGAACCATCTTCAGGCATCTTGCGCTATCTTGAGCCATCTTGGAGGCGATCTTGGGCTCTCTGAGGCCCTCTTGGAGCCGTCCTGAGCCATCATGGACGCTCTGACCGCTCCCCGCCCCTCCTGTCCAGGTCAGTGGGGAGGGGGTAGGTAAACCCCTCCCCGAAAGGGAAGAGGGAGGGGTGGAAGAGGAAACGCCCTAAACCACCGACGCCCAGAGGGCTGGTGGGATTTGCTGCATGCAGCTGGTTTCGGCCTCACCGAGGGGCCCATTCCTCGATACATAGCCGCCTCCGGCGCCGGGATGCGCGGGGAAAATCAGCTACGTGAGCTGATTCTCAACCCCCTCCTTTGCTATCCCCTCCTTTCGCCCGACCCGACCCCTCCCTCTCATGTCGGGGGCGGCAAAGAGGGGGGTGATGACTAGGGGGGGGGGATATCATGGCGGGGGCCATGATATCTCCCCAGATTTCGTGGCACCTCTTCCATTTCAGTACGTCCCTGGCCCCCCCGCTGGGCCGCGCACATGCCGCCGGTTATGATTTGCACCCCCCCCTCTTGGACACCCCCCTCTTGGCCGCTCCCGACCCTCTCGTGGTCACGTCTTCCCCCGTCCCCCCTGTGCCCCTTTTCTACTATAGCATGACATCTTCTCTTTTCTCTTCTACTCTCTTCTCTTCGCTTCTGTTCCCGTCTCTTCTCTTCTGTGTTCTTCTCTTCTTTTCCCTTCCCTTCTCCCCACGCCTTTTTCGCTCTCCACCTCATTCCCCCCAGTTCTCCCTTGCCCTTGCCCCTCCCCCTGCCCCTCCCCAGAAGATGGAGCCGCCCCAGGCCCAAGTCCCTGGCCAAGAAGAAGAGCCTGGACGAGGTGGACCCAGAGCTGCTGAACACGTTCGAGGCAAATTCGTCGGGTTTCTGGCTTCTCCATCTTGATGGTGCTGCTGCTCCTCCTCCAAGGTCGTCCTGGTCCCCGCCCTCGTCCTCCGCCCTTGTCCTCCGCCCTCGTCCTCCGCCCTCGGCCTCGTCCTGCGTCGTCGTCGTCCTCTTCATCGACGTGCCCCTTCGCCGCCTCTTCGGCCTCCTCCAAGGGACCCCCCCCTCCTTCCCTCCTTCCCCCCCCGTACGGCAGGTTCGCGTCGTGTCGACTGGCGGCGACCCCAGCGCGGGCGTGTAAGGTTCAACGCCGCCTGTGGCCCAGAATCGGCTCATCCTTGAACGATCCGGCCCTTTGGAACGGGCCGATCGTTCAAGTTTAAATGATCCCCGCGGTGTTGGGAACCAACGCCGTGGTCGAGACTCTTGGAGGAACTCGGGGCTCAAGAGACGGGGGTCAATGCAAGCGGGGGTCAGCCAGGGCACCGGATCCTGCAGGATCCTGCGACGACCCCCTCTGGCTGACCCGGGTTAGCGAGCCGCTCGTGGCCGCGAGGCGGCCGCGCATATTGGCTGACCCAGGTCTGCGAAGACCTACATTGCAGTTTTCTGTTCTTGCATTGCAGCTTTTAGGTTTCCTGTTGACCCAGGTCTGGATTGACCCAGGTCAGCAGATCCCCGAGGAGCGGGCCCCTGCAGGCCGAACCCGCGATGCTCGGCAGGTCTCGAAGGCCGGGTCGAGGTCCGCCCTGACTGCCGTCGTGGGCTCCATGGGGGGCCCCTTCGCCTGGGACGGCGCCCCGAGGCTCCGGGGAGGGGAAGGTTCCGCCCCCCTCCTCCTCCCTCCTTCCTCCTCCTCCTTCTCCTCCTCCTCCTCCTCCTGCTCCTCCTCCTTCCTCGTCCTCCTCCTCCTCCTCCTCCTCCTCCTCCTCCTCCCCCTCCTCCTCCTCCTTCTCCTCCTCCTCCTCCTGGCCGTTCTGGCTCTGGCGGGTGAGGGCCCGCAGAGCTTTCGCAGGCGCACTTCAGAGCGGCTCATTTGCGGGGAGCCATGTCCGGGCTGTGAGCAGCTCGGGCGTTCGGCAAGGTGAGGTGCCCAGCATGGGGCCTACTGCGGTTCTGCGTGCAAGGGGCGCGGTCCTGGAGCTGCACGCCCACACGCTGGGCGAGATGCTGATCCGGGAGTTCGTCTAGGCCAGCTTGGCGGACAGCGGGCTTACATCGGGGACGACCTGGGGGGTGAGTTCCCGATCGCCGAGGTCGAGTAGGCAGGCGAGGGCATGGACGTGGCGCACGTGCATGAGTGTGGCGTGTTCCCCCCCGTCCCCGCCTTCCCGACGCTGATTAAGGGACCTTGGATGAGATCAGCGGCACCATCGAGGCGGACGCCGAGCGAGTCCAGGCGATGGTGGAGGACATGCTGGAGCCCGTGAGCGTGGTCGACATCGACGGCTTAGGCTCCGATCGGGTCTCCGAGACGGAGGACGAGGTCAAGGCACCATCGAGGCGGACTCCGAGCGGGTCCAGGCGATGGTGGAGGACATGCTGGAGCCTGTGGGCGAGGTCGACTACGACGGCGTAGGCTTCGATCGGGACTCCGAGGTGGAGAAGGTCAGGACGACTCTGAGGCTGGTTGAAGGGGCCCTGGATGAGGTCGATGGCACCTTCGAGGCGGACTCAGAGCGGGTCCAGGCGATGGTGGAGGACATGCTGGAGCCTGTGGGCGAGGTCGACAACGACGGCGTAGGCTGCGATCGGGCCTCCGAGACGGAGCAGGGTGGGACGACGCTGACTGCAGGGAGCCTTGATGAGGTCAAGGACACCATCGAGGCGGACGCCACGCGGGTCCAGGCGATGATGGAGGACATGTTGGAGCCCGTGAGCGGGGTCGACAACGGCTTGGATCGGGACTCCGAGACGGAAGAGGTCGGGGCGACGCCGAGGCTGCCGACGGTGCCGCACGCCGTCGAGGTCGCTAAACAGGAGGGCGCCACGGAAAGCGAGGCGGAGCTCGGCAAGCAGCAGCGCCTTGGCTTCGTGATCAAGGCCAACAAGGAGGTCCACTCGCGGGTGGTCGCCGCGCTTGCCGCCCGCCTGGCCCAGTGGCGGCTCGCCACCGATGTGCCCTGCCGGGGCGGCGGAGGTGCAGGTCGAGGGCTGTTCCGAGGTGATCTACGCAGACGCTCCAGGAGGGCTCTGCGACCAGATCGTGCAGGCCTGCGCCCCCTTCGAGCCCGGCTCCGAGGAGCACGAGGCTGCGCTCGCGAGGGTGCTGGAGGGGTTTGGGCTCTCAGTCGACGACTACCGCTCCACGATTACGGCGCCCGGGGGCAAGAAACGGAAGAACAAGAAGAAGGGAAGGGGCCAGACGATTTGGGGCTGAGTGGGCGGCGGCAACGCGTAGTTGCTGGGCTCGGCTCGGAAATCCGGTGTCCTTCTTAGGGCGGCCTGGGGGCTGCCTCGTTTCGGGCCGCGGGGTCCTGGGTGCGGCCCTGGGGGCTGCGTCGGGGTGCCCGTGGGTTCCCGTCCCCGCGGGGGCGGCGGGGCCTTGGCCACGGTTCTCCCCTCCTGGGAGGTCCGTCGCAGGGGTGCACCTGTCTGGCGCGGCCCTCGGGCTCCTCGTCGCCACTCCCGCTCGCGAGCCGCAGCGTCGGCAGGTGGACTTTGTCCGCCCAACCCCATGCCCATACCCATGCCTTCTTCTCCTCCTCCTCCTCCTCCTCCTCCTCCTCCTCCTCCTCCTCCTCCTCCCGCCTCCTCCTCCTCCTCCTCCTCCCGCCTCCTGCACCCATGCCTCAACCCTTTCCTCGTGTTCGCATTTTTGGACCTCCTCGGAGGCCCTCGTCGCCATCGCTGGATTCGTCTCGAAATTTTGGGCAGAACGCACCCCGGGAGAGGTCCAGGGAGCAGCGGCATCGGTGCATTTTGGTTTCCCCAGAAGCGTTCGGCACCGCGTTCCGCGACCCATTCTTTCACAACGGGTCGGCGTTTCGCGCATCGAACACCTCGCGCGTGCACGTGGTGACCTCGACAATTGCGCGCGCGCCTCGGGCTGCCGCCTTCCAGGCTGCAGGGAACGGTATCCGCTGCACGTGCAAGGGCCTCCGAAAACCTGGCTGGCTTTTCCTTGGCACTCTGTCTTGCCCTCGTTGGTGTGGCGCTTCGACTTGACCAGGGCGAGACAGGGCAGGTGGCACGCGTGGCCCTGCTCCTCCCCGCGGGTTGCCGCGAAGCCAGACGGGCAGGGCGGCGCGTGCTCGACCGCGGGCGAGGGGCAGCACCGGCGATGCCGAGAAATCAGATGCGATGCGCCGATTTCGGGTGCGTGGCCTCTGCGCGCGCCAAGTCTGCGCGCAGCTGCTGTTCATCCACCGGCCAGATCTGAAGTGTCGCGATCACCCGGTCAAAGTATACCTGTGTGGTGGATCCTCTGTTCAATACCCCCCGCAAGCATTGCTCATGGATTCGCCATGCTTTACGACACTCTTGAAACTGAGGAACTCATGAGCCTGCCAAAGAGAAGCGGTTGTTGTGCGCGGCGGGCGCGGGGGCCGAACCCATGCTGTCGCGCCCGCTCCGACCGCCCAGCGCGAGTTGCATCGCGAATCGACTTCGGGGCCCGCCAGATTTTCAAACGCCGTGGGCCAACCTGCGCTTGCAAGCCTTCCATATTTGCATACTGCCCAGGTGCGCGAGGCGGTGGATATCGAAATTTGTTGACATCAAGGAAAGAAAACGACACTTACCAGACGGTTTGTCGAACCAGGATGCGGAGCGGCCGTGGGTAATTGACAAACGGCTGCCCCAGCCACCTCCCGAGCTTACAAGTGCCAGCTGCAATGCGTCCTTGACAAGACTTTTTGGCATCGGAAGGCGTGCTCTGAGCTGTCGAGTGGGACCCCCTGGCCGCGCTATCGCAGGTTTGGGCTGAAGCCGACGTCGGGCGCGTTCGAGAAAACGGCGAGCTGCAGCCTACATGAGGTTGCTGGCGACGCAGTGCATGGCGGTGCCAGCATCGACCCCGTGACCGGGGCGGTCAAAAATCAGGCGATGGCCGCGGGCTTGCGCGCTGTGCGGTGCGAGCGCGGGGGGCTGCAAAATCCACGGCGGACCGATGAAGCAAACCATCGCAACACATGTCGTCTGTTACCTCAGATGCAGAACTTCATGATACCCTATGATGCCCCAACCTACTTTAGCCTTGATCACCAGAATGAATGTCGAGCGCTAAGAAAACACCCCCAAACATCAGGGTTTTCACGTGTCGGGCCCTGGGAAACACTCTTTCGACACTGTTTCGACACTATTTCGACACTGTTCTGGGTGCTGGAAATCACTTCTGGGATGTGGTCCTTAAGTACGATGGGAGCAACATAAATGAGACCTTTTCCCGGGCGCAATCGGCGACCCAAGTTTCGGAGCGAGGCATTTCTACGCGCTCGTCTGAAAGACTTAGCTTGCAGCTGCTGTGCACACTGGCGCCGTACCGGGCGTCTGAGGCGCTTAGCTTTGAGTGCGTATGTTGGAGGCAAGCTAGCCTCAAACGCTAAACTCAACACATATTTTTATAAGACTCTGATTCAACTCTGGCTCGGAACCCTGTTTCATCTCTGATTTTGAAGCTATGATTTAACTTTGGTCTGAATTCTGTTTTACACTGGGCTCACGTCTTGCTGCCTGTTCCAGGGTATGTGCAGGCGGTTCTGGCTTGGCATGTGCGCTCGTTGTGCGGCCATGTGCGCGGCATGTGCTCCGCATATGCGAGCGTTCCAGCCGTCGGCGCGCAATGATCAAGTGACGGGCGCAGATGTGCGGGCATGTGCGGGGGCATGTGCTTTCAGTCTTTCACAGAAGAGCCCATTTGGTCCTCGCCGTGTGAGCTTGTCTGCTACTGTGCGTCATGTGCGTGGTGCGCGCGGATACCTTTGTGCAATATGGGCGGCGCGTGGGCAAGGCACTAGGCGCTATGCCTTCCTGCACCATCCCCCCCCCGCACATGGCCGCACGCTCCATAGCGAGCGGCCGCACACGCCCGCACATGCCAACGTTCGCTGCGCGAGGGGATCCATGGCCGCGCGCGGCCGCACATGCCCGCACAGCAAGCCGCACAGCAGGCCGCACATGCCTCCGTGCACCCCCGCTTCCCCCCGCACATATCAGGAGGGGAAAAAACACACAGACACAATTAATCGTCGATTCCCCAGAATATATAGGAAAATATGGGAGGTGGGGGGAAGACACAAGCCCCGAAAATATGGGAAAATATGGGGAGTCCTGCTATTTGTGTGTATTTACTTGTGTGTCCCAGGGCCCCTTCAACATAGCCGCGCACCCCATGGCGAGCGGCCGCGCACGCCCGCACACGCCAATGTTCGTGGCGCAGAGGGGGGGTATGCGTGGCCGCGCGCGCCCGCACGGTGCCCGCACAGCAGGCCGCGCCTGGCCTCGAGAGCCGCCCCGCCCCGCGCCAGCGGACGGCCGCACTCGGCTTGCACGCCGCCCTGCTGCCCGGGTGATTTCGGCCGCCTTGGCGGCGACCGTTCGGAACCCTCAGGGCCGTTTTTTTACCGGTTCCGTTTTGCCGTGTTTTGTACCGGTTCCGACGCCGTTTTTGTTACCGGTTCCGTCGCCGTTTGTTGACCGGTTCCAGCTCCGGTTCCAATCCTGGAGCCCTTCTTTCCTGGTTCCAGTCGCCGTTTTTTACCGTTCCCACTTTCAAGGGGCATTTTTTTGGAAACGGTGGAAAAAGGGCCCTGCCGTTTCCGGGGCCCACAAAGGCCCCGTCCCTCCCAGCCCTTCTTGCCGTCTCTCTCAACCCAGGCGCACTTCCCACCGCGCGCTTCCTTCCCGCATCCCCCGCCCCGCCCAGCCCTCCCGCCTCTCTGCCAGGTCTTCGGTCCCTTCCAGCTCTCCCGCCCCCTCCCACCCTCGGCCAGTCTATCACGGAGTCGTGGCTCCGCTTGGACGTCGGCTGGATTCTGAGCTGCTGTGCGCGAGCTTTTCTGGCCGGTTCCGGCTGGGATACCCTCGCAGCTTTGGGACCCGGTGTGCCCTGTTCGTGAGGTGGTTTAGCACGGTTTGCTTGAACAATCATGGCAAATGGTGGCTCCTACTTGAGACGCAGTTCGCGAGGTGGTCTGTCCGTTTCATGGGCGCGCGGAAGGGCCAGCAGCTGCCCTCCCCGCTCTGACTCGCAGGGACTCGCACTCACAAAGTAGCGAGCCACTCTCACTGGGCCACCTCGGAGCTCACCCCTTGGAGCTTCGAGGTATGCCCCCTTTGCCAGCCCCAGTGAGAAGCGAAGGCTGCTGCACAACCAAATCGCATGGGATTTTGCAAGACAGCGCAAGGCACCCGTCTAGGCGTGTTAACGTTGACCCCCTTTATGCTGATGTCGTGTCCTGTCCTGTCCTCCTCCTCGCTCGTCGTTTTCCGCCTCCTCTTCCTCCTCGTCCCCCTCCTCCTCTTCTTCCTCCTCCTCAGGCAGCCTGTGCTGAACGCGAGGGCAAGCGCGCACGCCAGTGCGCAGAGGGATTGTGGCCGCCCCCCGCTTTCCATTGCCTCTCTTATTCCATCGCCCTCCCATCCTTCCCCCCGCCCCGCCCCGCCTTGATCCATCCTCCCCCGCCGTCCTCTTCCACCCCAGAGATGCACGACTGGCCGACGTGAGCTGTGCAAATACAGTGCTTGCGTGTGCACGGCACGTGCTTGGCATGTGCGAGACGGGGATTCTGAAGTGGCCCCCGCGGCCCATCTCCTGCTCCCTCCTCCTGCTGCACAGCGTTTCCCTCCCACCGCCGCGCTGGGAGAAGAGGGCGACGACGACGAGGGGGAGGGTGAAAAGGGGGAGGAGGAGGACAAGGAGGGGGAGGAGGAGGACGAGGAGGAGGAGGGGGAGGCGGGGGAGCATCAGTAGGAGGAGCAGCGGGAGGAGGATGGGGACGGACGATGACGACAACGACGACGCCGGCGCCGACGCCGACGCCGATTCCGTTGCCGATGTCGCCGCTGCCGACGGCGACGTCGACGACGACGGGGGCGCCCCTTGTGGCCGAGCGCTCGATTAGCGCACCCCTTCGATGGAAGCATGGGTTCCGCCCCCGCTCTAACGCCGCCGTCGTCGTCGTCGTCGCCGTTGTCGTCATGGGCGTCGCCGTCATCGTCGTGGTCGTCGTGGTCGTCGTCGCCGTCGTCGCCGCCGCTGCCGCCGCCGCCGCCCGTTCTCCGCCCGACGGCCGGCGGGCCGGCCCGGCCCGGCTTGGCTCGGCTTGGCTTGGCCAGAGGAAGAGGAGGAAGAGGAGGAGGAAGAGGAGGAGAGGAGGAGGAGGAGGAGGAGAGGAGGAGAAGGGAGGAGGAGGAGGAGGAGTAGGAGGAGAGGAGGAGGGGAAGGAGGAGGAGGAGGAGGAGGAGGAGGAGGAGAAAGAGACGGAGGAGGGGGAGGAGGAGGAGGAGGAGGGAGGAGGGCACTCGAAGTCAGGAGGGGGAGGGCTGGAGGGGGAGGGCAGGCGGGAGACGGAGAGAGAGAGAGGAGGAGGAGGAGGAGGGGAGGAGGAGGAGGAGGAGGAGGAGGAGGAGGAGGAGGAGCAGGACAACGATTCAGGGTTCTGATGCGTCGGGATCGGGCCCGCTCCGCCCGAGACATCCTCGGAACTGGGCTCAAAAATGCTACGGCTATGATTTGAGGCGATCTTGCCTATTTCGCCTGCGACGTCTTCACGACTCTGGGTTCCAATCTGTTCTCGAAGTGCTCCCGCCCGCTTCGCGTGAGACACCCTCGTAACTCTGGACATGCCGAGTGAGGCACCATCGCAACTCTGGACTTCAAGATTTCTTGACTTGAGGAGGAGGAGGAGAGGAGGAGGAGGAGGAGGAGGAGGAGGAGGAGGAGGAGGAGTAGGAGGAGGAGGAGGGGGGAAGGAGGAGGGAGGAGGAGGGGAGGAGGAGGAGAAAGAGACGGAGGAGGGGGAGGAGGAGGAGGAGGAGGGAGGAGGGCACTCGAAGTCAGGAGGGGGAGGGCTGGAGGGGGAGGGCAGGCGGGAGACGGAGAGAGAGAGAGGAGGAGGAGGAGGAGGAGGAGGAGGAGGAGGAGGAGGAGGAGGAGCAGGACAACGATTCAGGGTTCTGATGCGTCGGGATCGGGCCCGCTCCGCCCGAGACATCCTCGGAACTGGGCTCAAAAATGCTACGGCTATGATTTGAGGCGATCTTGCCTATTTCGCCTGCGACGTCTTCACGACTCTGGGTTCCAATCTGTTCTCGAAGTGCTCCCGCCCGCTTCGCGTGAGACACCCTCGTAACTCTGGACATGCCGAGTGAGGCACCATCGCAACTCTGGACTTCAAGATTTCTTGACTTGAGGTGATTTGTCCCGGCCCATGTCGCTTCAGACATCCTCGCGAGTCTGGGCTCCACGATGCGATTATTGAAATGTTCTAGCTTGTACGCTTGAGGCATCCTCGCAACTATAGGTTCCAAGATGCAATTGTCGAAGTGTTCCCGCCCATTCCGATTGAAACATCCTCTGAACTCTTAGTTATCTGCCCGAGCGTTGGCCACATCCCCATGTATATGGGACTGGTGTTGTCGCCTGCGCGCTGACCGCACCCCGAATTCGCAGTGTTCCTTCCGCCTCGCACCAGCCCATGTCCCTAACTGCAGGTGCTGCCGCTCGAAAACCAGCCATATCCCTGCTTGGGAAGGGTGTTGTTGCCCCGTCGTTGGCCACATCCTTGTCACGGACTGGTGCTGCGGCCTGCGTGTTGGCCACGTCCCTGAGTGTTTACATTCCGCCGTTCGAGCGCCATTCAAATTCCTGATTGGTGTGCGGGTGGACTCGGCCAAACGTTGTGTTTTGTTTCTGCGGATGTATCGCCTGTGCGGCCATGTGCGGACATGGCGTGGTCTTCTAGACATGCGACCCCGGGGGCGTGGACTATGTGCGGGCATGTGCGGGGAGGCAGCGGCATCGACGCTGCCCCGCGCAGAGGTGCACAGGTGTGTGTGCACGCACTGTGCGGCATGTGCGGCGCGAAAACGAAGAAGAAGAAATGAGCCAACAAGAAATGAACCTCCAAGAAATGAGCCCTGTGTAACTCTGATTCGGCTCTGTCCCTAGCCAGAGCTACAGTAGAGTTTCATCAGAGTTCCAGGCCAGAGCCAAATCAGAGTTCCAGCTAAACCAAAGAGAGGAAGCAGAGTTTCAGGCCACAGCCAGATCAGAGTTTCAGCCAAACCAGAGACGAACCAGAGTTTCAGGCCATAGCCAAAACAGAGCCAACTCAGAGAACCATCGGAGTTCTGGCAGTCCCGGGCGGAGGGCGCGGGGCGCGCTGCGCAAGTGCGCTTGTCTTCCTGTGAACGTAGGAGGGCCTCGCCGCAGGATGGGGGGACGAGGGAGAGGCCTCCTCCCCCCCATCTTCTACCGTTTCCTCTCTCCTTGCCCATCCTCCCTCTTCCCTTCGCTCATTTTCCTACCTCGCCTATCTTCTCCCTCCTCCCCTTCCTCCGCTTCCCTCTCCCTCCCTTTCCCTCCTCCCCCGTTCGTGTCCCTCTTCCCCCCTCCACCCTCCCCTCCTCCTCAGATTGTCTCCTCCCTCCTCCCGTTATCCCCTCCCTTATCCTCCACCTTCCCTCCTCTCCTCTTCCTCCCCCCTTGGCCTCCCTGGTCCCGTTTCCTCCTTACTCGGTCGCCGTCGCCCCCCAGGTGCTGTCCCTCCTCTGCCCTCGGCCCCTTTTCCCCCCTTCGTCCTTTTGTTCCTCCCCCTCGTCCTCCTCATCCTCCCCCTCCCCCTCCTCCGCGTCGAGCGTCAGTCTTCGCTCCTCGGCCTCAGTGTCCCGCCCTCGTTCTCGCCCTCGCTCCCCCCCTCGCTCCAGGTCCCGCGCCCGGCCTCTTCTCCGCCTTCGCCCCCGCGCCCGCCCTCGCCCCCGCCCGAGGCCATTTCCACCTCAGCCCTGTTTCTCGCCTTCGCCTTCGATCCCGTCCTTGCTCTCGCCGTCGTTTCCGCCCTTTCCAACCTTCGTTGCCGACCTCGTTTTTGCCTTCGCTCCCGCCGTCGTTCCCGCCCTCGTTCCCGCCGTCGCTCCCGCCCTCGTTTTCGCCCTCGTTCCCGCCCTCGTTCCTGCCCTCGTTCTCGCCTTCGTTCTCGCCCTCGCTCCCGCCCTCGTTCCCGTCCTCGTTCTCGCCCTCGTTTTCGCGCTCGTTCTCGCCCTCGTTTCCGCCTTCGTTCCCGCTTTCGTTTCCGCCCAGGTTCTCGCCCTCGTTCCCGCCCTCGTTCCCGCCCTCATTCTCGCGTTCGTTCTCGCCCTCGTTCCAGGGCCGCTTGGAGGCCGCCCGGGGAACCCAAGGGCCGCCCGGTGAAATCAGACTTGAAACAGAGTTTCGGCCAGACCTCGAATACACCCCAAACGGACCTGAAATAGAAAACATACCTCAACCAGACCTTAATCAGAGTTTGGCCCAGAGCAGACCTCAAAAAGACTTCAAACAGACCTCCCGGAGGATCCCTTTGTGTTCCTTCGGACTTCGTAGGTTTCCCTGGAACAGAGGGGGCTTCGTTCCTTATTTCTCGCTCCTCCGGTCGGGCCGAATACTGTAAGCAGACTTCAAACAGACCGCAAGCAAACCTCAAGCAGACTTCAAACATACTTCAAGCAGACCTCAGGCAGACTTCAAACAAACCTCCCGGAGGCTCCCCTGAGGTTCCCCGGAGGCTCCCCGGCGGCGCCGGGGGAGTCCCCGAGGCGCCCCGAGAGGAGTCTTGGAGGCGCCCAGGAGGCGGCCCCCCGCCCTCGCTCCCGCCCTCGCTCCCGCCCTCGCTCCCGCCCGCGTTCCCGCCCCCGTTCCCGCCCTCGCTCCCGCCCTCGTTCTCGCCCTCGTGTTCGCCCTCGTTCCCTCCCTCGTTTTCGCCTTCGTTCCCGCCTTCGTTCTCGCCCTCGTTCCCGCCCTCGTTCCCGCCCTCATTCTCGCCTTCGTTCTCCCCCTCGTTTTTGCTCATCGCCCCCGTTCCCGCCCCAGTTCCTGCCCTCGCCTCCGCCTTCATTTCGCGATCGTCCCTGTCCTTGCCTCCGCCTCCGCCTTCATTTCGCGCCTCCCAGGGCACCTCCCAGGGCACCTCCCAGGGCCCCCCCCCGCGCCCCCGAGCCTTCCGAAAAACGCGGCGCTCCTCCTCTGCGCTGCCTTCCCCCGACCTTTCCCGGACGGGCGGCGGGGATGGGGGCGGTCACCGCGATGCGCATCCTTTCGCGGCGCGGCAGCCGGCAGCCCTGAGGAGCGAGCCTTGGGCGAGCATGTTTTCGCTCCAGCTGCCGTTGAGCAGTTTTGGGCAGGGCCGCGCAGGCGGGGGGCGCTGCCCCGCGCCCCCCGCGCAGGCCTTAGCCTTAGCGTCGCCGCGCAAAGCCCCGCGCGCAGGCGGGCCCAGCTCGCAGTATGCTGGCGGCTGGGCTCCAGCCGTGACCAGTTGCTTGGCTTCCGCGTTTCTTCTGTTATTCTTGAAGACGCATGCGCACGGGGCCGACCCGGCAGCATTCTGGGCCGACGCCTCGACATTGGTTTTGGCGGGCCCAAACTAAACCATAATCGCACTCACTTTATTGTTCCCAGTCATACCTAAATCAGACTTGGGTCCTACTTCGGGCCATAGTTGAATATGAGTCTCAGTCAGACCTAAATCGGAGTTTGTGCTGTGGGCCGGACTTGAATCAGAGTTCCAGCGCGGACATGAATCATACTCTCATCAGAATTTGGGCCTGAACAGAAATGCAGAGTTTGCCCCCCAAAAAAAAATACTTACACTTAGTTCGCTCAGGATGTAGAGGTTGGCCAGCTCGCATCTCAGTTCGCTGTGGATCTTCGTTCGCGCGCGTGGTAGCTGGATTCGCGGAGTTGGTGATGGTCGTTTCTGCGGCACGCTGTAGCTTCAGGCCCCGCTGCGACGATCGGGACCGGGGATAACGAACCAACGCTTTCCCTGAGGGCGCTGCGCCTGGCGAGACGACCGTCGCGAGGCTCCAGCAATCGCAGGCCAGTCAAGCGTTCCGATGCACGTGCTGGTAAGCCGTGTCGCGCGCCAGAGGGGCGCGCGGGGTTGGTTCTGCCGGCGTGTCAGCTCGCGTGGGCCCCGATGACATGCGCGGCGACTTCGGAGCTGTCGGCGACGAGTGTCCACTGCGCGATCCGTGCTCACGCCATCGACAGGCGCCCGACTATGCCGCGCCGGTGCTCCGACGGGAACGCGCGCCATAGCTGCCGAAACCGCCGCGGGCGATGGGCAGCATTGCGACCCAGGCGGAGCCGACGCAGCCCAGGCGCAGCCATGAGTGGACAGGTAGTGGTCGTTTTGGTTTCAGTACGCACCCTTCTTAGGAACACGCATCGGCTGACACTCCCACAGCTGATGCTCGGCTCGCAAAATCAACTGCTTGAATGCACGAATCACACCACGAGACGATCCCAGGCAGGTTCGTTGCTGATGGGTCGTTCAATGCCAAGCTTAGACGCCGAGGCTCGGGTTGATGGAGAACAGTTTTTTCTCTGGTGGTGGCCATATTTGACGCGTGGGCGCTGCCTGACGCACTGCATGCACAGCGCCGCGTCACTGCAAGGCTGGAAGGGCGGAGTTCCACGGGCCGTGGCCGCAGGCCGGGCCACCGAGGAACTCGTGATGATTTCTGGCCGTTCTTTCCATTGCGTGCAGTGTTCAGTTTGCAGCGCTTGACACGGCTCGCGCGACGCCGAACCTTGCGCGCTTGAGCGTTTGTGCCCGCGCAGGCTTCTGAGCCAAGGGGAACTGCAGTTTTGATGCGCCCAGTCCTATCGCACAAACGACAGCCCATAATCGAACGTCAAAGAATTACGACAATCTGTGCGTTCTGTTTTTGGCATAGATTTGGGCACGTCACTTTTCTGACTCAGCGGGCAAAATGATGATGGCGATGATGATGAGATTGGTGGTGGTGATGGTGCTGGTTGTGATGATGGTACCAGTGATTGGGAGTATGATGATGATGGTTATGTTGATGATGATGATGATGATGATGATGATGATGATCATGATCATGATGATGATGATGATGGTGATGATGATGGTGATGATGATGGTGATGATGATGATGATGATGATGATCCTGTTCATGGTGGTGGTGGCGGTGGCGGTGAGTACGAATAGGCGCAGCAACAGCGGGGCGGTTGTGATCAGCAGGAGGCGCGAGTGGGAGGGACGAGGGACGAGTTTTTTCCATCAGCGTGGTGGTGGTCGTCTTGGTAGTGATGGTGATGACGGTGATGGTGGTAGTTTTGGCAGTTCAGTTGTTGATGCTGATGCTACTATTAATGTTGATGGTGATGCGGTGATGTGGTGCTGTTGATGGTGATGATGATGGGGTGATGGCGATGATGGGGTTGAGGATGAAAATGGTGATGGTGACTGGTGGTGGTGATGACGATTCTTGTGTGGATTATGCTGAGGTTGGGAATGATGATGAAGAATATGATGAGGAGGAAGCATCAACAGGAGGAGGGCCAATATGTTAATGGCTGCAGGAAGTTTCAGGCATGGCAGGATTGTGGTGAGCAGCAGGGCGGGCGTGGAGGAGCTCGGCGTCGACGAGGATGAGGACAACGACGATGACAACGAGGAGGGAAAGGACCACCGTCACCTTGTGTAGGACGGGGGGGAAGGGAGGAGGAGGATGTCCTCCTCCTTCTCCTCATCCTTTCCTCCTCCTCCTCCTCCTCCTCCTCCTCCTCCTCCTCCTCCTCCTCCGCGCGGCGGCACGCCGGGGCGCCTGGCCACGGACCGCGCCGGCCCACCCGCCCCAGAAGCTTGGCATACCCCTCACCGAGCAGAAGAGGCTCACGAACGTGGCCGTGGAGGGCCCCCCCCGGGGGGGGGGTCAGTCTGCGCCTTCGCGCGTTAGCTGGTATGTCCGGGGCGATCGGCGTGGGTAAGGAAGGGGAGGAAATGACCGGCAGCATTGCCTGTTCGTTCTGAGCGGGGTTCGCTGTCCGTGCCGTCGCGGGCTTCGTCCATTTGAGACAGAGGGCCGCCTGCCCAATAGCGGCCGTTGTCGGTTTGGGACAACACTTGGTGTTGGGCATCGTGCTCATTAGGTTCCTTACACATACCGGATATCCAAACCTGTGCTTGCCGGGAGGGAACCTGACTATCAATGACACGCCTCTTGGATCCCATCGTGTGTTGTTCTAGCGCTCTTGTCATAACAGAAAGCCTCGTTTCCACTCATCAGTGACGCGCTTATGGTTTCACCTTTCCCGCAGGGTGCCGCTGATGTTTTTTGCACCCCCAGCTTGTATCTGTGCATGTGTGTGTGTGTGTGTGCGTGCGTGCGTTCGTGTGTGTGTGTGTGTGTGCGTGCGTGCGTGCGTGCGTGCGTGCGCGCGCGTGCGTGCGTGCGTGCGTGCGCGCTCGTGTGTGTGTGTGTGTTTGTGTGCGTGCGTGTGCGTGCGTGTGTGCGCGCGTGCGTGCGTGCGTGCGTGCGTGCGTGCGTGCGTGCGTGCGTGCGTGCGTGCGTGCGTGTGTGCGCGCGTGCGTGCGTGAGCTTTGCGTCTCTCGACGCTGCGCGCGAGGCCGCGGCACCCAAAAGCGCACGTGTGTGTGTGTGTGCGTGTGCGTGTGTGATGAAGGAGCAGGAGGTAGAATCACCATCTTTGGACAATATTGTCAGCGGGAGGACGCCGTCTTCGACAGCGAAAGCGTCGGCACCACGTTCCAGAAGGAGCTCTCAGAGGCGCCAGGGCGACCGTCGCCTCTTTTCTGGAGAAGAAGGGATAGGAGTGATGGGAGTGACGAGGGTGGGCGAGCAGAACGAGGGGGAACAACATTAGAGGAGGGAATCTGATGACCATGCGGACGATAGACGATGGTGCTGATGATGATGATGATGATGATGATGATGATGATGATGATGATGATGATGATGATGCTGGTTGTGGTGGAGATGCTGATGACGATGATGAAGATGATGATGATGATGCTGATGTTGATGGTGATAATGATGATAGTGATGTTGATGCTGCTGATGGTGATGCTGCTGATGTTGGTGATGATGATACTGCTACCGGTGATGATGCTGACGATTATGATGATGCTGGTGGTGGTGTTGGTGATAGTGATGATGATATTGTGCTGCCGTTGATTACGATGCTTCTGATGAAGCTGATGATGGTGTTGATGATGATGATGGGTCTTGACAATATGGATATATGGTGATGATGCTAGTGATGCCTCTGTTGATGACTGTGATGTTCACGATGATGCTGGCGAAGATGGCGATGATGGCGACGACGATGCTGATGAGGATTCGGATAATGATGCTGATGATGATGATGATGATGGCGATTGTGATGATGATGTTGATGCTGATGGTGATTGAGGTGATGATGATGACTATGATGATGGCGATGCTGATGATGACGATGATGATGATTATGGTGCTGATGGTGATGATGATGAAACTGCTGAACACGACAATGATGATGATGCCGATGTTGCTGATGATGCTGATCATGCTGTGGCGATGACGATGGCGATGCTGGTGATGATGATGCTGACGAGTATGACGCTGATTTTGTTGTTGGTGATGATGAGGATGATGATGCTGGTGATGATGATGATGATGATGATGATGATGATGATGATGATGATGATGATGGCGATGGTGATGGTGGTGAGGATGATGATGATGCAGATGATGCTAATGATGATCAGGCTTCGGGGTGCAAGGGGGGCCCCTGGACAATGAAAGCGGGCGTGAACCAGTGAAACCTCTGCTATCCTCCTCCTCCTCCTCATTATGTTCCGCCGTCTCCTTCTCCTCCGTCTTCCTCCTCCCCCTTCTCCTCCTCCTCTTCTTCCCCCTCTTCATTTCCCCTCCCTCCCCATCCGCCTTCATCCCCCCTTCCCCTCCTCCATCCTCCCACAGCGGCAAGGAACAGCAAAAAAACACCCAAGGAAATAACAGGCGTGTTGCAGAACAAATATCAAAAACCTCAGGAACAACAAACACAACAAGGAAACCAACGGCTTGAAATTGAAAACTAAGCAAAAACCTACGGACACACCAACAACACAAAACCAAACAACAATTTGGTACCCTTCTCGGTGGAGCGTAGGGGTGGGAAGGGCAGGTCTGTGAATATTTTGTGTTTTTGTTTTTTTGTTATTCCTTAGGTTTTTCTATGTTGTTCGGCTCCAGCCCTTTGGTTTCTTTGATGGTTTTGGTTGTTCCTTTGGTTTTCTTTGGTGTTCCTTGCCGTTGTGGAAGGAGGAGGAGGAAGAGGAGGTGGAGGAGGAGGGGAGGGAGGAGGAGGAGGAGGCGGAGGAGGAGGGCGAGGGGGAGGAGGAGGAGGGAGGAGGAGGAGGAGGAGGAAGAGGAAGAGAGGAGGATGAGGATGAGGAGGAGGAGGAGGAGGAGGGGGAGGGGGAGGGGAAGGGGGGGAGGAGGAGGAGGAGGAGGAGGAGGAGGAGGAGGGGAGGAGGAGGAGGAGGAGGGGGGAGAGGAGGGGGAGGGGCAGGGAGGAGGAGGAAGAGGAGGAGGAGAAGGGAGGAGGAGGAGGAGGAGAGGGAGGGGGGCAGCTAACGCCAGCTAGCACGGAAGAGTCGCCGCCGACGCCGTCGTCGTCGTCCTCCTCCTCCTCCTCCTCCTCCTCCCCCTCTCAATCAGATTCCCCTATCGGGGGCGGAATCAAGCAAAACCATAGGAAAAAGCAAAACAAAAATATCGGGGGTGGAATCAAGCAGATTACCCTATCGGGGGCGGAATAAAGCAATCCTGGGGGACTCCTCCCCCGTCCCTCCCTCCTCCTCCTCCCACCCCCCGGCAAGTTCCTCTGGATTGCTTTTATTGTGTTGTTTGCTTTGTTTGTTTTTTCTTAACGTCTTGCTTGATTCTGTTCCGTAAGAGGATTCTGATTGAGATGAAAGGAGCCCCCCCCCAGCAAGTTCCTCATGATTGTTTTTTGTTTGATTTTTCCTATGGTTTTGCTTGATTCTGCTCCGTAAGAGTATTCTGATTGGGATGAAAGGAGGAGGAGGAGGAGGAGGAGGAGGAGGAGGAATGCGAAGAGGAGGAGGAAGAGGGAGGAGGATGAGTAGGATGAGGAGGAGGAGGAGGAGGATGGAAGAGGTTTGAATGGTTTACGCCCGCTGTCATTTTGCAGGGGGCCCCCTTTCACCCCCGAACCTGATGATTATTATGGTGATGCTTGTGTTGATGAAGATGATGGTGATGACTGTGATGATGATGCTGTTGTTGGAGATGCTGACGACGATGATGAGGATGACGACGATGACGATGCTGATTGTGATGTTGATTGTGATGATGATGATGACGATGATGATAATGTTGATGATGATTTCGATGATGATGCTGATGATGATTATGATGATGATGTGGTTGTTGATGACGATGATGCAGATGACGATGATGATGATGATGCTGATGATGCTGACGATGAGGATGCTGCTTATGATGGTGAGGATAATGACGGTGATGGTGATGGTGTTGGTGGTGATGGTGATGGTGATAGCAATCGTAGCTGTAATGGTGAGTCAAGGGACGTCGAGCCGTATAACATGTGTATGTTCATCTGTTTCTGCCAGGCCCAATTCGAGAAAAGTCAAGTCACCGTGCTCTGTGTCGCACGTCGGCCATCCCAGCGACTGCCCAACTCGCCCCCGACCCGCGTGGAACCTGCGAGGCGCCAAGCCAAGGGCGCCCTCGAGAGCGCGAAGTGATTCGCGCTTTTGCGCTTCGCGGTTCGGCTCCGGTTCCTTGCCTTCCCCTTCTCCCCCTGAGAGGCGGCGCGAGAGCGCGAAGCTCTTCGCACCTCGCGCTTCGCGCAGCGCGAAGCGCGAAGCTGGGACTTGGCATCACTCGGACGTGTGCGTACTTTCCTCGGCGAGGACCATCGAGGAGCATCCTTGATCATTTGGCGAAAACACCACGCACGAAACCGAAAAAAACAGGGAATGGACGTCCGAGCGAAGGCCAGGGGAGCCCTTGCGCACTGCGAGGCGCCGAGCGGCGCCGGCCTTTGGCCAGCGGGGCGAGGCGGGCCACCGGACCCCGGGCAGGCGCGCGCGCGCGGCCCCCGAGGGCCTGGCCCGAGCGGGCGGGGCCCCTCGGGCCGACCGACGCCCACTAAGGTTTTGCGCGACAGTCCTTCCTCCATCTCCTCCTCCTCCTCCTCCTTCCCCTCCTCCTCCTTCCTCCTCCATCTCCTCCTCCTCCTCTCCTCCCCCTCCTCCTCTCTCCTCCTCCTCCTCCTCCTCCTCCTTCCTCCATCTCCCGTGACCTTCCTCGGCATCGCTCGGACGTGTGCATTTTTTCTCGGCGAGGACCATCCTGGACCACTGATGGCCGACAGTGGCCCCATAACCCACCCCGCCCAGGAACTGTCCTTTCTGGCAATCGGGTCCCTATGGCCGATCGTATCGCCGATTCCGGCTCGACGTTGCCCCCGAAGCCGGCTCCCCCCCAGCGTTGCCCCTCGGCCACCTTGACCCCCTCGTCCTCGCGAGAGGCCTCTGCATCATGATCTGGACAAGGGCTGGACCTAAACGGTGTTTTGGCGACTTCGTTGGCCGAATTCGTTTCGATCTCGTTTTGCGGTAAAGGCGGACTGAAGACAAGACGAGGGAAAACGAAAACAAAAGGGAAACGAACAACACCGTTTAGGTTCAGCCCCGATATGGACTCCGTGCGCTGCCGTGCGCTCGCGCGGAGGGAGGGGAGGGGACAGAGAGGCGGCGGGGGATGCCGAAGGAAGGGGTGCCTGCTTCGCGCGCCCTCTTGCCTCGGCATCGCTCGGACGTGTGCATTTTTCTTTCGGCGAGGACCATCGAGTCAGGAGGAGAAAAAACACACAGACACAATTAATCGTCGATTCCCCAGAAAATATGGGAAAGTATGGCAGTGGGGAGGAAGACAGAAACCCAGAACATATAGGAAAATATGGGGAATCTCTGTGTACTTGTTTGTGTGTCCCAGGGCCCCTTCATCGAGGAGCATCCTTGATCATTTGGCGAAACAACCACGCACGAAGCCGAATTATCCCAGCAAAGCAACCTAACAGCGATGTGTAGAAGCATATCTGAAAGCATTCCCCTTAAGATTCAGATGAAAATCCAGTTGTAGAATTCTGCTGTTCTCGCAGTCGTAGTCGCATTCGCGATGACAGTCGCAGCGGCAACGGCAGTCGCAGTCACAGCCTCAGCCTCAGCCTGCCTCAGCCTCAGCCTCAGCCTGCCTCAGCCTCAGCCTGCCTCAGCCTCAGCCTCAGCCTGCCTGCTTCAGCCTCAGCCTCAGTCTGCCTTCAGCCTCGGCCTCAGCCTCAGCCTGCCTCAGCCTCAGCCTGCATCAGCCTCAGCCTCAGCCTCAGCCTGCCTCAGCATCAGCCTGCTTCAGCCTCAGCCTCAGCCTGCCTCAGCCTCAGCCTCAGTCTGCTTCAGCCTCAGCCTCAGTCTGCCTTCAGCCTCGGCCTCAGCCTCAGCCTGCATCAGCCTCAGCCTGCCTCGGTCGCAGCATCAGCCTGCCTCAGCATTCAAAATGTGGCCCAGGAACGGAGTTCTGGGAACTAGAAGAACACGAAGTGGCCTACAGTTGGCTCCGGGCATTCAAAATGTGGCCCGGGAATGGAGTTCTGGGAACTTGAAGAGCACGAAGTGGCCTACAGTTGGCTCCGGGCATCCAAAATGTGGCCCGGGAATGGAGTTCTGGGAAGTCGAAGGGCACGAAGTGGCCTACAGTTGGCTCCGGGCATCCAAAATGTGGCCCGGGAATGGAGTTCTGGGAAATCGAAGAGCACGAAGTGGCCTACAGTTGGCTCCGGGCATTCAGAATGTGGCCCGGGAATGGAGTTCTGGGAGGTCGAAGAGCACGAAGTGTGTGACTGTTGGCGAAAAGCGAGCCCGGCTCGGTTCACGGTTCTCCAGAATGTGGCCTGGGAGTGGAGTTCTGGGATGTCGAAGAGCACGAAGTGTGTGACTGTTGGCGAAAAACGATTCCCGGTTCTCCTCCCCGGCACCCGCCCAGACCCCCTTGTGGAGTCCAGATGCTCTCTTTTGACCCTACTAGAAACCTATCACCAAAAGCTGTTAGGTAAAAAAGCACAGGGAGTGGACGTCCGAGCGATGGCCAGTTAACGGTCCCTGCTTCGCGCGCCCTCTTGCTGTGTGCGGCCCGGGGCGTGCTGCCGCACCAGGCGGGCGTCATCTTCTGCTCGATCAGCGAGGCGATAAAGGAGCACCCCGATCTCGTGAAGAAGTACATTGGTAAAGTCGTGCCAGTGGCGGACAACTTCTTCGCGGCGCTGAACAGCGCCGTCCGCCTGCACATGATTATATGTGTTCGTCTTGTTGCGTGTGCGTGGAAGGGCAGAGTTCGATTCCGTGCAGTGCCATGACAGATGATGTGGGCTCGCAACCTTGCGACTGGTCTCGCCGATGGCTCCACTGTGCAGCTTCAGGTGATTCCAACCCAGCGGGGTACATAGTACATAGTTCCTCCCTTTTCCTCTTCGTCCTCGAACTTCCCCCTTCCTCCGTCACCCGTCCTCCTCCTTTTCATTTACACCGCTAACGGGAGCTCTTGCGACAGGATACCCGAGCGACGCCCGTGAATGGCTCCTTTTGGGAACATGACAGTCGGCTGGCATCAAGGTTTCTTGTGTAGCACTTGGCTGTCAATCGCCATCTCCGCGGTGCTCTCGTGGGAGTACCTTTCCTTGATAGTCTCGACGAGTTTTGATTGAGGGGGTTCGACATGACGATTGTTATTCCTGGCATGTGGGGTTGCTGCCTTGGTCCTTCCATCTCGCTCACGCTGACGGTGATGTCCTTCTCGCGGTGCTCGTTGTTGAAGTTGCTCTGACATGCTCGATGAGCACCCGCTGTTGTATCTGGTTTTGAACATGCGGTTGATATGGGCAACCTTTCCTTGCACCACTGACAAGTTGCCGCGCTGCTCCTGTAGTGAGGTCAGGTTCGGCGGCAAGCGAGGGGGGACGTGAGAAGGAGAAGGCCTTCTGAGAAGTTTTCTGTGTTTTCGAGGAAGGCTTAGGCAACTCCTCAGAAGCCCTTGGGACTTCCAAGCCCTCTGAGATGGTCTTCCCCTTCTCGCTTTCCCCCTGGGCTCGCCGCCGACTGGTGCTAGGACTGCTCCGTCCACTCGTGTCATGCTGTGATGTGCTTGCTTGGCCGCTCCTCCCCCGCTCCTCCTCCTCCTCCTCCATTTCCGCCTCCTCCTCCTCCTGGGGACGCTCGCTTCTCCTCCTCCTTCTCCTCCTCCTCCTCCTCCTCCTCCTCCTCCTCCTCCTCCTCCTCTTGCTCCTCCTCCTCCTCCTCCTCCTCCTCCTCCTCCTCCTCCTCCCCCGCTCCTCCTCCTCCTCCTCCTCCTCCTCCTCCTCCTCCTCCTCCTCCTCCTAGCCGTTTTGGCTCAAACATTTTTTGCGGTTGCTGTCACCGACATTTCAAAAAGGGCTGGGTGGCAGCGGGCCTTCTGGCGCGGTCACTCGTGGCGCACTGCGATGGGCGGCACTCGTGGCGGCGGTGGTGGCGACAACGGTCGCGGTCCCCGCTGGACATGCTGCCATTGCGGGTGCAAAAATAACGAATCATTCTACCAGTATTGCAAGCATTGCAAGAAGTGGTGGAACGCCCCTGTCGAGTCCGCCCCCGCTCTTGGGCACCACTTTGCCGCCGCGGACCCTTGGCTCTTCGGGCTGGACGCGTGGGCGGCAGGAGTACGCCACGCAGGAGAGAGGCGGCGCGTTGGCTCGACTGGTGAACCCGAGGCAGAAACTCGGGCCGGACGAAAGGGGGGGGATTGGGAAAGGGGGGGGTACGACATTTGCTGCATGCAGCTGGTTTCGGCCCCGCCGCCCGGGCCCATTCCTCGATACATGGGCGCCTCCCGGCGCTGGGAGGCGCCGGGAAAATCAGCTACGTGAGCCGATTCTCACCCCCCCCCTTTGCTGTCCCCCCCTTTCGCCCAGCCCGAGAAACACAGACTCAGGAGGAGAAAAAATACACAGACACAATTCATCGTCGATTGTCCAGAAAGTATTGGAAAGTATGGGAAGTGGGGGGGAAGACAGAAACCCAGAAAATATGGAAAATATGGGGAGTCCTGTTATCTGTGTCTATTCATTTGTGTGCCCCAGGGCCCCTTCACGACTGGTGAACCCGAGGCAGAAGCACAGACATCGGGCCCAAGTCCGCTCGAAATCTTTTCCCTCCTCCGGGGGCCGTCCAGAGCGCTGGTCCTCTGCAGTGGAGGCCCGGCCATCAAGAAGCCTTCCACAAGAGACCCAGCCCTGAGACCCCAGGGCGCCCCTTGATTTTTAGCGTGGGGGCGCCACCCTGTCCACAGCAGAGCCATCGAAACCTGATAAACCCAGGACACCCTGGAGGCAAGCAGGGTGTTTCCTGGCATGGGTCCCCACTGTTCGGGCCGGACGAAAGGGGGGGATTGGGAAAAGGGGGGGGGTCAGAAATTTGCTGCACGCAGCTGGTTTCGGCCTCACCGATGGGCCTATTCCTCGATGCATAGCCGCCTCCGGCGCCGGGAGGCGCCGGGAAAATCAGGTACGCGAGCTGATTCTCCCCCCCCCCCTTTGCTATCCTCCCCTTTCGCCCGGCCCGATAATCCCACCCTGTCTCGGAGGAGTGCCACTCGACACAGCGGCTGCTCTCCCGCCGGGCCCACGTTCGCTAGAAAGCAGCCCCTGGACACCCCCCGGCCCCAGGGGTCCAATACGGACCCGTGCTCTTCGGAGGCGGCCAACAGAGGGTTAGTGACTAGGGTTAATCAAGTCGGGCCTGTCCCTCTACAGGAGGACTACGTAAACAGAGTAAAACAAAATAGCCTGGGGACGATGTCATGGCGTGGGCCACGAGAACTCCTCAGAGTTCATGGCGCGCCTTCCTGTTCCATTGCGTCCCTGGCCCCCCCCTGGGCCGCGCACGTGCCGCCGGCCATGTACCCCAAAAGTGCACCCCAAATGGGCAAAAGTAGTCAGAAAGTCATCCCCAGACTATGTTTTGACTATTCTTGAGTATTCCTCCCGTATTTGCGCCCCGCCCCTTTTTGGACGCCACCCTCTTGGACATCCCCGAGCTCCGAGAGGCGAGTCTCCGCCGTGGCGAGGAGGGGAGACCCGCGAGGACAGCAAGCATAACTTCAGTCAGGCACTGCTCAGGAGGGGACAGAAACACACAGACACAACAATTAATCTGCGATTCCCCGAAAATATCGGAAAATATGGGAAGTGGGGGGGAAGACAGAAACCCAGAACATATGAGAAAATATGGGGAATCTTTTGATTTGTGTGTATTTATTTGTGTGTCCCAGGGCCCCTTCAACTGCTCCTCCACAGGAGGAAGGTTCAAGCAATAGTTAAACAAGAGCCTGGGAGCGAGTATTCTGTTCTTTTGACCATGTTGGCTTTTTGTTAGTGGCACTTTTTTGTTTTTTTCTTCGACAACCCGCCTGTAGGAGGCCATGCCCGTCCTAAAGACAAAACACAGGGAGGGCCGACGTTTGCCGCGACGGGCCCTCCTTCCGTGTGCGTCCCCCCGATGTAGAGCGCCCTAGTACCCTTGGTGTCCTTGAGCGGACGGACGTGCCAGGTAGTTTCGGACGGGGTTTGGATGAGGATAGATCCGTTCCAGAGCGTTCCTGAACGCTCTCAGAGAGTTGCAGAACGCTCTGAGAAGGCCGTGGTGCCCGAGATATGCTCCAGAGCCGCCGGATCTCAGAGATTCTTGATTTATTTTCACCCGAAGCTGTCCTCGTCCTGGCTTCGTCTCAGGCCGTGTGGGGCAGTGCGACGTCCTCAGGTGCGCATCTACACTCTCGACGGTGTCGCGCCCGAGGCCAGGCGTTGGCGAGTGTCCAGAACCATGCCCGACATGCTGATACTATCTGCGCGTCGCCTCCCCAGGGGCGTCGCGCGCGCCGAGAAATCTTACAGTATAAGCTCCGCGGCGGGCGCTTTCTGGCCGTACGGGTTGGGAAACGATCTGGAGGTGGACACACTGTACTAGGATGTCCTTCTGCGCACAGAGAGAATAGGGACGAAGACCAACAGCAGTTCTTGCCCATTTTGAACAGGACTCGCTGTCTGTGTCGCTGAGGGTGTTTTCCTTTTGAGGCAAAAGCTCGCCTGTCCAGCCGCAGCCACTGCCGTTGTTTGGACAACATTTGCTGTTGGGCATCGTACCCATGTCTTCAATACCCGCTTCGGCTATGCCGAGGCACGTCATGCCTGTCCATTCGAAAAAGAGCATCTGCGTAGAAATCTAGACGCTTCGCGTATCCCCACCAGTTATTTGGCCCAGACGACGCCTTCCGCTCCCTGTCCGCCGCCTCGGAGCCGCCGGCCAAAAAGTATCCCCACCAGTCGGCTTTCCCACGGTACCTTGAGTTCGACTGCGGTCGCAGCGGGCTCTGCGTTCCTGGCAGCGCACCGCCTTCTGGGCTGGTTTCGCGGTGGAAGCGCTTCGCTTGTCCGATGCGTGGTCCGCAGATGCAGTGCTGATCATGGTCTTCAGGCGTGCAGGGATTAATTCATCGGCTTCGTGTCTTTTCTTGCACGGTGCATTCCACCCTGGCCTTTCGCAGTCAGTTTGCAGCCTCCTCAGTTTGCAGCTTCACTTGAGGCAGCCTCTGAGCGCGGTCGCGGCCGCTGTAGTTCTAGGCTCGCGTGTTTTAACTTGATTAGCCCGTGGCCTGGACCTCTCCTTTCGGCGACAGCCTTGCGCGTCAGCCTGCGACCCCCAAAAAATATCCCCACCAGTTTTGGACGGCGCGCGGCCTTTCCATTTGCGCTCGCGATCAAAAAATCCCCACCAGCCGAGTGGGAAGCACGGTGGGAGGAGTGGGGAGGGACGGCGTTGGCAGAGTGGGGAGGGGCGACAGTGGCGGCGCGGGGAGGGACGGCAGTGGCAGAGGAACGATTACGACGGAGGACGGCAGTGGCAGTGTGGTGGGATGTGTGGGGTGAGACGGCAGTGGCAGCAGTGTGGCCGTTGGGCGGGGAGACAGCGTACAAGATGCGGGTGGCGAAGGTGGACCATTACAGCAACACCAGTACAACTCCAACAGCATCAGCACCAACCCCCGCTACACCACGACTCATACCAGCAGCGCCAAAACGACTCCAACAGCACCACCGCCATCTCCAGCAACACCGCGACCAACCAGAGCCCCACCTCAGAAGAACCAGTGCGACTCCAGCAGCATCAACACCAGCCCCGCGACCGACTCCAGCAGCATCAGCACCTACCCCAGCTGCATCACGACCGACTCCAGCAGCACCCGACCGATACCAGCAGCACCACCACCAGCTCCAACAGCGCCACGAACAACCAGCGACCCACTCCAGCAGCACCGGCACGACTCCAGCAACATCATCACCAACACCAGCTGCACCGCGACCGACTCGAGCTGCACTTGGCCGACACCAGCAGCATCACCAGCAACGCCAGCAGCACCACGACCAACCAACGACCCGCTCCAGCAGCACCAGTGCGACTCCAGCAGCATCAACACCGACCCCCTCTGCAACCCGACCGACCCCACCAGCACCAGACCGGCACCAACAGCATCACCACCACCAATTTCAGCAGCACGACGACTAACCACCGACCCAGTCCAGCAGTACCAGTGCTACTCCAGCAGCATCAACACCAGCCCCAGCTGCACCACGACTGACTCCAGCAGTACCTGACCGACACCAGCGGCACTGCCACCAACTCTAGCAGCGCCACGACCAACCAGCGATTCACTCCGGCGGAACTAGTGCGATTCCAGCAACATCAGCACCAACCCCAGCTGCACCACGACCGACACCAGCAGCACCTGACCGACGCCAGCAGCCCCGCCACCAATTCCAGCAGCGCCACGACCAATCAACGACCCATCCCAGCAGCACCAGTGCGACTCCAGCAACATCAACATCAACCCCAGCTGCACCACGACCGACACCAGCAGCACCTGACCAACTCCAACAGCATCACCACCAACTCCAGCAACACCACGACCAAGCAAGGACCCACACCGGCAGCACCAGTGCGACTCCAGAGCAGCCTCCACAGCCCACCTGGATGCGCATTGCCCGCTCGGGCACGGCGCTACAGCCCACGCTCTGGCCGCCCAGGCGGACCGTGGTGCTGTCCCTCCCCACGACAACGCACCGATTAGGTGCGCCGAAAACAAAGCTGCGACGAGCATGTGCGAGAAGGGCCGACAGTGGAAGCTGGCTGGGGTGGCAGTGGCATCGCGGTGGGAGGAGCGAGGAAGGACGGCAGTGGCGGCGTGGACGGCGGCGCGGAAGCGCGAGAAGTCAGGAGGGACGGCAGTGGCACGATGGACGGAGGAGAGGGCGGCAGGGGCAGCACCGCGGGAGGAGGGGGAGGGCCATGCGGTGTCGACCAGTCGGTCCCTTCCGACGACGACGGCTTGTAGGGCGACGGGGAGGAAAACAAACAAACAGAAAGTGGTGGCGCTCCCGGTCTTTGCGCGTGGGGCGCCCTGATGGCTGGTCGAGTTGCTTGGCCGCCGCCATTGTGCTCCCTTGCCTGGAGCACCTTTGGTTATCTTCGTGATGGCCCACGCGGCCCCTGCACTTGGGGGGCCTGGCTCTTCGAAGAGGTCCTGGAGCGGCCGCAGTCCGTCCGCTTTCTGGGTCTTCCGCGCGGTCTTCATCTACGCGAAGGTTTTCCGCGGACCTGGAGGTCGCCTTCTCCGCGACAGTCTACACCGCCCGTGCCGCCTCCGGGTGTCCTCGCTTTTCCTGGGAGAGGTCCTGGCGCGGCCGCTGCCTGGAGGTCGTGGTGTTCTTCTTGGTCCTCCTCTACGCGGAGGTGGTCACTCGCCCACACGGGGCCTGGAGGTCGTTTTCCTCTTGGCATCGTCACGCTTTTCTTTTGCAAGTGCTGCGCGTTCGGCAAGTTTGCGTGGGGCTTTGGGTTTGCCGCCTTCGTCGCCGCCTTCTGGGTTCAGCGTTGCGCTTGGTTCATCTCTCGCCGCCTTCGTGTTCGCCTGCCTCGGCCTCTCCATCGGCACCTTCCCCGCGTTCCTGGTGCCCTACGTCGCTCTCGCGCCAGTTTGGCCGCCGAAGTTCCGCCCCGCACCTGGCGCTACTCTTTGCTTGTTTTCCGCAGCTGGTGGCGTAGCCTGCCCCTGCTAGCCTGGCGCTCGATTCGTTTCGCGCGCCCGCGTACCGAAAGTATCCCCGCCAACCCATCCAGAAACGATGTCCAGGCGACTTAAGGTGATCAGGGGAATGCGGGGGTGGAAAGGGGGACGGCCGAACCGCGCGAAGGACGGGGGGAGAAGGAGGAGGCTGGATGGACGGATGGGGGAGTTGGGAGAAGGATGATGAATAGGACGCGGAGGAGAAGGGTGAGGAGGAGGAGGAGGACGAGGAGGAGGAGAAGGAGGAGGGCGAGGACGAGGGCGAGGGGGGAGAAACAATAGTAGGAGGATGGAGGAACAGGAGCAGGAGGGTAAGCAAAAAGGCCAAACAGGTTTTTCGGATGCCTTCGGTGCTTCTTGGGATATAGCTTGCGCGCTTCCTGGTGGCAGTTTGGGGCGTCTTTGGGGTCTCTCGGCGGTCGTGGGGGGCTCTTGGGCGTCTTGGGTGCCTCGGAGGGCTTCTTGGGACCGTTAGGGGTCCTCATTGGGGCCTCGTGGGGGGGGTTTGCATCCATTTTGGGGCCATCTTGAGGTCTCCTGGGGCCTCCTGAGCGCTTTTCGGGGCAATCTTGGATGGCATCGATCAAAACAGAGGGGAACCCGGCCCAAGAGGCCCAAATGAGGCCCCAACTGAAGTAAAACCCATGATTTCGGTTTCCTCGCCGAGGCCGTTTTGGAGGACCTGTCCGCTCGCGGAACCCCCCGTCCAGGTCCAAGGAGGGGGTATGGGAGGAGGGGCGACCCCCTACCCGAGATGGAAAAAAAGGGGGGTGGAAGCGGAACCTCCCTACACCACCTACGCCCAGAGGGCTTGTGGGATTAAAAACTCCGCGCGGACTTTTTGGATCAGCGTTGGGCCCCCCTGACGGCGCATCTGGTGCCGTCCCTGGCGCTCTCCGCGCGCCACGGAGGGGGGCCCAGCGCAGTTCCAAGGATTTCGCTCCGCGCGGACCTCTGAACGTTTCTGTTTGTGGCACCTGTTGCTCCTTAGTCGTCGATGAGGCACGCAGGACCGACCGATGTAGCAAGTTGTGCCACCCTTCCGGCCGCAGCTTAGAGCCCCGCTTATTTCGACGTGTTTTCAGCAGTACAGTTGGAGGAGTAGGGGAACAAGGACCAGGGCGCCCGCATGCCAAGATTGCCCGTTCGATCGGTCAGTGCTGGTGCCAGGTCAACGCCAAAATGGCTTGAATTATCGCTGTGCATCACTAGCTTGTCCTCTCCTCCTGTTTGTTTCTCCTCCTTTTCCTCCTCCTCCACCTCCTCCGCCACCTCCTCCTCCTTTTCCCCCATCGCCCTCCTCCTCTTCCTCCCCCTCCCTTTCCCCCCCCTCCTCCTCGTTAGACTCCCTTCTTCTCTCCGCTCGTCGTCGCCTGTCATCTGCCATCCTGCGTGCCCTGTCCTGTCCTGTCCTATCCCATTTTGTCGTATCCTGTTCTATCCGGTCCTCTTCGCCCATCCTTTGCTACACAGTGTGCATGTGTCAGTCTAGCAGTTTGCGCCCGAAGTGCAGTAATCAGTGCTATTGCTTTATCGCATGGTTTAGATATGGAAGCAAGTTGGTATGGCATCAGTTCGGCCGTATGGGGCAGATGCGTTTCAACGGTTGCCGCGAATGCTTTGATCAAATCCTGCCCGAAGGTCTTCAGCGATGGGTCGTTCTGCTACATCCCGAAAGGGACGAAATGTCCAATGGAGATTTCCACGTACTTTCGCATCAACAACAAGGACTCTGGCCAGTTTGAGCGAACGCTTCTCATAGCAGACGAAGGCACGCACGGATGGAAAGGAGGGATGAATCTGCGCAGCCGAGGGAGCCGTGTTGCTTAAAATACACAGTCAGGCTAACATGTTAGCAACAGCTCAACATTTGCAATGGTCGAGACACGGCGCCGACGGCTTGTGATGGTGAACCGCAGTTTTCGCCAAGCGACGGGTTCACGCCTACCAATCTGCGTTTGGTACAGAAGGTACACAGATCCGTATGTGCTGCGATCCGCGGGATGACGGAAAGGCTGGGAATCATATTCGTGTTCGCATCAGATTGTGCACACGCTTTTGTCGGCAATTCGAGTATGGGATCGACTACATGATTGAATTACTCCGAATTTTTCCGTCGAGTCTAAAGAAATACGTCGTACCCTCGTAGACGTGCGATGTTTGTTGGTTCTTTCTGTAGATTCCAAAGAGTTCTGTAGTCGATCTCCTACCCGAGCATTGGTGTGTACCCTGCTCGCGAAAGCCTCCCAGCTACAGAGGGGCGCACACATATGGGGCTCCATTGCATCACGGGCGTGGCCCCCCTCCCACAGTTGGAGCGTTCGGCGTTCATCAGAGCAGCGCACACGCACACAACCTCAAACTCAAACTTCAGCTTTCGTTGAACATGAGATAAACTTCAACTTTCGTGGAACTTCAAGCTTCAAACTTTTGTGGAAGTCGAACTTCGAACTTCAACTCAAAGATGTCCGCGCGGATTTCTTGGACCGGCGCTGGGCCCCCCTGGCGGCGCGACAGGCGCCGCTCCTGGCGTGCTCCGCGCGCCAGAGATGGGGGGGGGCAGCGCCGATCCGACAGATCCGCGCGGACCTCCGAGTATCTGTATGTTTTTTTCCCAACCATCCTGTGGTGTTGGGTCCTCGTTTTGAAGAGACGGTGCCCCGCGTTCCTCTCCTCTCCTCTCTTCTCCTCTCCTCTCCTCTCCTCTCCTCTCCTTTCCTCTCCTCCTCTCCTCCCCCCCTCTCCTCCTCTCCTCTTCACCCACCCAGTACACCGCTTCGTGGCTCCATAGGGAGCTCCACCGAAGGCCCCAGTGCCCGCGCCCGCATGCGTCACCCACACCCATTCGGCACACCCCTCACACGTTTCGTGGCTCCATAGGGAGCTCCACCGAAGGCCCCAGTGCCCGCGCCCGCATGCGTCACCCACACCCATTTCGGCACACCCCTCACACGTTTCGTGGCTCCATAGGGAGCTCCACCGAAGGCCCCAGTGCCCGCGCCCGCATGCGTCACGGCGTTCCTCCCTCCACACCCATTTCGGGCACACCCCTCACACGTTTCGTGGCTCCATAGGGAGCTCCACCGAAGGCCCCAGTGCCCGCGCCCGCATGCGTCACCCACACCCATTTCGGCACACCCCTCACACGTTTCGTGGCTCCATAGGGAGCTCCACCGAAGGCCCCAGTGCCCGCGCCCGCATGCGTCACCCACACCCATTTCGGCACACCCCTCACACGTTTCGTGGCTCCATAGGGAGCTCCGCCGAAGGCCCCAGTGCTGGCCCGCATGCGTCCCCACACCCATTTCGGCACACCCCTCACACGTTTCGTGGCTCCATAGGGAGCTCCACCGAAGGCCCCAGTGCCCGCGCCCGCATGCGTCACCCACACCCATTTCGGCACACCCCTCACACGTTTCGTGGCTCCATAGGGAGCTCCACCGAAGGCCCCAGTGCCCGCGCCCGCATGCGTCACCCACACCCATTTCGGCACACCCCTCACACGTTCGTGGCTCCATAGGGAGCTCCACCGAAGGCCCCAGTGCCCGCGCCCGCATGCGTCACCCACACCCATTTCGGCACACCCCTCACACGCTTCGTGGCTCCATAGGGAGCTCCACCGAAGGCCCCAGTGCCCGCGCCCGCATGCGTCACCCACACCCATTTCGGCACACCCCTCACACGTTTCGTGGCTCCATAGGGAGCTCCACCGAAGGCCCCAGTGCCCGCGCCCGCATGCGTCACCCACACCCATTTCGGCACACCCCTCACACGTTTCGTGGCTCCATAGGGAGCTCCACCGAAGGCCCCAGTGCCCGCGCCCGCATGCGTCACCCACACCCATTTCGGCACACCCCTCACACGTTTCGTGGCTCCATAGGGAGCTCCACCGAAGGCCCCAGTGCCCGCGCCCGCATGCGTCACCACACCCATTTCGGCACACCCCTCACACGTTTCGTGGCTCCATAGGGAGCTCCACCGAAGGCCCCAGTGCCCGGCGCTCACATGCGCATGCGTCCCGCACACCCATTTCGGCACATCCGCGGCCGCGCTCACATGCGTCCCCGCCACCCATCCCGGCACGCCCCTCACAACAACAGGTTTCGTGGCCCCATGGGGAGCTCCACCGAAGGCCCCAGTGCTGCCGCCCGCATGCGTCACCACCCGCACCCAATTCGGCACACCCCTCACACGTTTCGTGGCCCCATAGAGAGCTGCACCGAAGGCCCCAGTGGCGGCGCTCACATGCGTCCCCGCCACACATCCCAGTACACCCCTCACGCGCTTCGTGGCCCCATAGGGAGCTCCACCGAAGGCCCCAGTAGCGGCGCTTACATGCGTCTCCGCCACCCATCCCGCCCCCCCCCCCGCAGCAGCATCATGTTTCGGGGACCCATAGGGAGCTCCACTGGAGGCCCCAGTGGCGGCCCGCACATGCGTTTCCGCCACCCATGTCGGCACGCCCCGCGCGTGTTTCATGTCCCCATAGGGAGCTTCGCCGAATGCCCCAGTGGCACCCATCTCGGCACACCCCTCACACGTTCCGTAATCCTATGGGGAGTTCCATTGAAGATGAAACCCGCAGCTGCGGTACTGACAACTGCATATGGTTGGGTTCTTCGCCAGGCTAATTCTTGCCTCCCTGAACTTACAGTGCGCTTGTTTGGAGTCGGCAGCCTGGTGCAAGCTGTGTCTTGATCCCAACCATCCTGTGGTGTTGGGTCCTCGTTTTGACGAGACGTCGCCCCGCGTTCCTTCTCCTCCTCTCCTCTCCTCCTCCCCCTCCTCCCCCCTCCTCCCTGCGTTTCACCCAACCAGGACAGTTTTTTGTGGCCCCATAGGGATCTCCACCGAAGGCCCCAGTGGCAGTGTTCGCATGTGATTTCGGCACACCCCTCACGAGGATCGTGGACCCATAGGGAGCTCCACCGAAGGCGCCAGAGGCAGCGTTCGCATGGCGGCCTCGGGCCATTTCGGCACACCCCTCACGAGGATCGTGGCCCCATAGGGAGCTCCACCGAAGGCGCCAGTGGAAGAATTCGCATGGCCGCCTCGGGCCATTTCGGCACACCCCTCACGAGGATCGTGGCCCCATAGGGAGCTCCACCGAAGGCCCCAGTGGCAGCGTTCGCATGGCGGCCTCGGGCCATTTCGGCACACCCCTCACGAGGATCGTGGCCCCATAGGGAGCTCCGAGGATCGTGGCCCCATAAGGGAGCTCCACCGAAGGCGCCAGTGGCAACGTTCGCATGGCGGCCTCGGGCCATTTCGGCACACCCCTCAAGAGGATCGTGGCCCCATAGGGAGCTCCACCGAAGGCGCCAGTGGCAGAGTTCGCATGGCCGCCTCGGGCCATTTCGGCACACCCCTCACGAGGATCGTGGCCCCATAGGGAGCTCCACCGAAGGCCCCAGTGGCAGAGTTCGCATGGCGGCCTCGGGCCATTTCGGCACACCCCTCAAGAGGATCGTGGCCCCATAGGGAGCTCCACCGAAGGCGCCAGTGGCAGAGTTCGCATGGCCGCCTCGGGCCATTTCGGCACACCGTTCACGAGGATCGTGGCCCCATAAGGGAGCTCCACCGAAGGCGCCAGTGGCAACGTTCGCATGGCGGCCCCGGGCCACTGCGGCACATCCCTCACGAGGATCGTGGTCCCATAGTTGTGCTGCTTCAACAACCGCGCCTGGGCGTCGTACTCTGCCTTGTCGACGTGCAACGCCATCTCCTCCCTCATGGCTCTCAAGGCCCTCTCCTGCTTCTGCTCCTCGGTGAGAGGGACGCCGTCCTTGTCGTCGTCGGCGCCCGCGAAGACGGCCACGAACGCGTCCCTGAGCATGTCGGGCTGCGGCGGGAAGCCGTGGCCACATATGGAGCGCGGGTGAAGCTAGTATTCACAATTGCGGTATTCACAACTGCATATGGTTGGGTCCTTCGCTAGGCTAATTTTATCCTCTGGCGCGGAACGGTCACTACCCCAGCCAATCTCACCACCTCGGGTAACGGTAACGATCCTACGTTGGTTGGGATGGGTTGGACCCCGTCACGCGTGCTGGTGCTCGTGCGCATGCCGTTTCGATTGCAGCGCGTACCCCCGCCCCGACGTGCCGCACCCCAACCCAAACCCTCAAGCGTTACCGTTGCCATGGGCTCCACCGCCCCTGGGGAACGACCATACCCGAACTGACCAAGATGGCAATGTCTCGTCCGAGCTGCCATCGCTTTCTGACACCAATGCCCGTTCTCGCGCGTCGCAACAGTGGCAGCTTAAAATCCACACGACGTGCGCGTGCTCCGACGGGGGCGCGACGTAAACCCGACGTGGGCCCGACGTGAGTTGAGCCTCAGGTGGCCGCGCGAGGCCTCCAGGCCATGGCGCGCCGACAACAGTGCCCGCGGAGAAAAAATCCATGGGGCCTCGCGCCGCGCGAAACAGTTGCAGCTTACAGTCCACGCCGCGCGCGCGTGCTCCGACGGGGGCCCGACGTCAACCTGGCGTGGACCAGGCGTAAGTAGGGCCTCAGTTTGCCGCGCGAGGCCTCCAGGCCATGGCGCGCCGACACCACTGCCCGTGGAGGAAAAATCCCGGGGGCCTCTCGCGGCGCGAAACAGTTGCAGCTCGCCGTCCACGCTACGCGCGCGTGTTCCGACGGGGGCCCGATGTAAACCCCATGCGGGCCCGACGCAGGCCGGGCCTCAGTTTGCCGCGCGAGGCCTCCAGGCCATGGCGCGCCGACGCAGGTACCCGCAAGGAAAAACCCTCGGCGCTTCGCGCGGCGCGCAACAGTTACAGCTTGCAGCCCGCGCGACGTGCGCGTCCTCCGACGGGGGCCCGACGTTGACACGATGTGGGCCCGACGCGAGCCCGGCCTCAGGTTGCTGCGGGCGGCCTCCAGGCCGTGGCGCACCGACGCTAATTCCCGTGAGATCCCTGGGCCCTCGCGCAGCGCGCGACACTTGCAGCCTACAGCCCACGCGACGCGCGCGTGCTCCGACGCGGGCCCGACGGAAAACCGATGCGGACCTGGCGTAAGTTGGGCCCCAGTTTGCCGCGCGAGGCGCCCTGGCCATGGCGGGCCGACGCCAGTGCCCGCGAAAACAAAACCTTGGGGCTTCGCGCGGCGCGCGACAGTTGAAGCCCGCAGCTCGCGCGACGTGCGCGTCCTCCCACGCGGGCCCGACGCGTGCCCGACGTGACCCGACGCATGTTGGGCCTCGGGTTGCCGCGCGAGGCCTCTTGGCCATGGAGTGACGACACCAGTGCCCGTGGCGGAAAATTATGGGACCTCGCGCGGCGCGCAACAGTTGCAGCTTGCAGTCCGCGCGACGCGTGCGCGCTCCGAGTGGGGCCCGACGTAAACCCGCTGTGGGCCCGAACTAAGCTGGGCCCCAGGTTGCCGCGCGGGGCCCCCGACACCAATGCCCGCGCCGACACCAGTGCCCGACCAAGCGGGGCCATGGCGCGCCGACACCAATGCCCGCGAAGGAAAAAACATGGGGCCTCGCACGGCGTGCAACACTTGCAGCTTACAGCCAGCCCGACGCGCGTGCGCTTCGACGGGGGCCCGACGTAGACCCGACGCGGGCCCGACGTAAGCCGGGCCCTGGGTTGCCGCGCGGGGCCTCCAGGCCATGGCGCGCCGACACCAATGCCCGTGTAGTAGAAATCCCTGGGGCCTCCCGCGGCGCGCAACAGTTGCAGCCCACGGCCCGCGCGACGTCCGTTTCCTGCGGGGGCCCGACGTAAACCCGATATGGGCCCAGCGTAAGCTGGGCCCCAGGTTGCCGCGCAAGGCCTCTAGGCCATGGCGCGCCGACGCCAATGCCCGTTGAGGAAATATGTCCGGGGCCTCGCGCGGCGCGCGACAGTTGCAGTTTGCCGCCCATGCGACGTGCGCGTGCCCCGACGGGGGCCCAACGTAAACCCGATGTGGGCCCGACGTGAGCTGGGCCTCAGGTTGCCGCGCGAGGCCTCCAGGCCATGGCGTGCCAACGCCAATGCCCGTGCAGACCAAACCCTGGGGCCTCGCGCGGCGCGCAACAGTTGCAGCTCACGGCCCGCGCGACGTGCGCGTGCTCCTCCGGGGGCCCGGAGTAAACCCGCTGTGGGCCCAACGTAAGCTGGGCCTCAGGTTGCCGCGCGAGGCTTCCAGGCCATGGCGTGCCGACGCCAGTGCCCAGGAAGAAATTGTCCCTGGGGCTTCGCGCGGCGCGCAACAGTTGCACCTTGCCGCCCGCGCGACGCGCACGTTCACGACGCCAGTCCGAGGTCCCAACGGATGCTGACGCGCTCGAGCATGCTCATGGCCTCGGCATTGGCCAGGATGTAGTCGAAGCGGGAGGGGGTGCCTTGGGTAGGCACGCAGGTGGGCCCTGCCGCGGCCAACAGGTCGCGCCATCCTGCCACGGCCAGCACTCCCGAGAGGCCCACGGCCTCCAGGCTGCAGTTCAGATCCCTCACGAGGAAGGCTGGCTCGGGGCCGAGGCCACGCAGCCACTGCAAGCCTTCGAGGATCAGGTCGGCGTTGCGCTCCTCATCGCAGCTTCAAACCTCGCAGCCGTAGCAGCTCACGCAGTGATCGGCCCGGGCTTGCCCGAAGAGGGCCATCATGTGCTGGAGGCGCCCCAGGTGCCTGCACTACACGCCCAGGGGCGGCTCCGCCTGGACCCCGCAATTGCCTGGCCAGGGAGCGACCGTCAGCAAAAGCTCACCGTCGTGCTCGGGCCCCTCCTTGAACCGCAGGCCGCGCGTCCACGCATCCGCTGAGGTGGACGACGCCTGCCGAGCTGGGATGCGGGCCTCCTGTGCGCACCATCGCCAGCAGCCCCTGCCAGCTCGCATTCCATCGCGTCACGTTGGCCACTCCCACTTTGAACAAGTCGTTTGAGTGGGCGGGCCCGGGATGCGAGGCTTCGCCGACCCATCTGGCCGTGGCACTGCTCCACGGGAGGGAGAAGGGGCAGGGAATGAGGGGATCTTCTTCGCCACCCTCCCCCTTCCTCCACCTCCCCCCTCCTTCACGGAGCTTGCGCTCAAGCGCCAGCCACACACATTGCGGGCGAAGACCTTGCTCGTATCCGCGGCCTCGCGGGCCGGGCCCTCGTGCCCCGATCCCGCGGACGCGGGGCGCGTTTGCCTTGGGTGTCCCGCGCAGAGCTTATCCGTGCGACCGCGAGACAATTGGGTCTGGGAGCAGAGTTGAGCGACTGACGACTTGGACAGTCTCTGTCCAATGCACATGTCTCACAGCCGCTCAGATCGCGCTTTCTCTCTGTGTTGTTGCTTCTCTTTGTCGCTGGTCCGAGCAGAGCGCCCAGTTTCATCCCGCATAGGAAGAATCAGCAGCTTTCCAAGGCTACCCTTGCATCCTTCCTCTTCGGCCCATCCTTGGCCGCTTTCGCTGGCCGCGCCCCGCCCGCCAAGTGGCGATGTGGCCTTCCATGGCCCTTGCATCATTGCCGTGCGTCCTTACAATAGCGGGCTGACTGCCTCCGCGGGATCGGCCCCCGGAGTCCATTCCGCGCAGGCCGCGACTGCGGCTGCGTCTGCCGCTCGGGAACGCGCGCGCGCGTGGCCCGCGAGCTCGGCGCCCACACGCGGGGGAGGGGGAACGCCGTACAGTTGGGGCCCATGCCAAGAAACACCCTGCTTGCCTCCAGGGTGCCCTGGGTTTCTTGGGCTTCGATGGGTTTGCGATGGAAATCGTGACGGAGAAGGATTCCTTGTGGATTGGCCTCCATTGTTAGGCAGCTACGTCTCCTACCTCGAGGGCTGCACGGCCCCGATGTTCGACAGCAAGCAGCTGCACGCCGCGGTCGTGGAGCTCCACGCCGCCGAGGCGGGGGCGGGCTGCGCCCGCCGCTGCCGCGCTTCTGAAGGGCGCGATTGGGGGGAAGGAGCAGGAGCAGGAGGCAGGGTGAGGAGGAGGAGGAGGAGGAGGAGGAGGAGGAGGAGGTGGAGGAGGAGGAGGAGGAGAAGGCAGGGTGATGGAGGAGGCGGCGGAGGAGGATGAGGAGCAGGAGGCAGGGCGGTGCGGAGGAGGGAGGAGGAAGAGGAGGAGGAGAAGAAGGCAGGGTGAGGGAGAAGGAGGAGGAGGAGGAGGAGGAGGAGGAGGAGGAGGAGGAAGAGGAGGAGGAGGAGGAGGAAAGTGGAGGAGGAGGGGAGGAGGAGGAGGAGGTGGAGGAGGAGGAGGAGGAGGAGGAGGACGAGGAGGAGGAGGAGGAGGAGGTGGACGAGGAAGAGGACGGGGAGGAGGACGAGGAGGAGGACGAGGAGGAGGAGGAGGAGGAGGAGGAGGAAGAAGAGGGAGGGAGGAGGAGGAGGAGGAGGAGGAGGAGGGGAGGAGGAGGACGAGCACGTTCGGCCCCACGGTGAGCCCAGTTTACCGAGCACATTCGGCCCACGGTGAGCAGGATCAGGAGGGAGGGTGAGGAGGAGGAGGAGGAGGAGGAGGAGGAGGAGGAGGGGCCGGGGGGGAGGAGGAGGAGGAGGAGGAGGAGGAGGAGGAGGAGGAGGAGGAGGAGAGAGGAGGAGGAGGAGGAGCAGGAGGAGGAGGAGGAGGTAGGGAGGAGGAGGAGGAGAGGAACAGGAGGGGCCGGGGGGGGAGGAGGAGGAGGGGGAGGGGGAGGAGGAGGAGGAGGAGGAGGAGGAGAGGAGGAGGAGGAGGAGGAGGAGGAGGAGGAGGAGGAGGAGGAGGAGGGGAAGCAGGGTGAGGAATGAGGAGGAGCAGGAAGAGGAGCAGGAGGAGGAGGAGGAGGAGGAGGAGGAGGAGGAGGAGGCAGGGTGAGGAGGAGGAGGAGGAGGAGGAGGACACGCACACGGCTGGTGTGGTGGTTTGAGTCGAATCGGAATCGGCTCGCAGCGACGGCGGGGGTGCGCCGTGGCATCCGCCATCTGATGAATGAGATCCGACGACCCTCAGGGGGCCTGTGAGAAACCCATCAAAGACCAGGGAAACACCAGAGGGTGGTTCTCTACCTGATCACACATGCTCTATGTACTGCACTGTAACTGAGCGTTCGCAGAAACACAGTGTGATGCACAGAGCAGTTATCCAGAACCGACTACAGCAGATCTCTGCAGAGCCGCAGTCGGGCGCCGAGGCCGTTCCTGGTGACGGCCCTCAAGCTCATGTTGCGGAAGTCCATTTTGAACAGGTGCGTCTTCAGCTTCATCTTAATCTTGGCGTCGCTGCGACCAGACAGAAGCCTTTGGTATCTGGCCTCCAACGCCTCATCATCGCTGACATTGCCACAGGAGGTGAAGTCCTCCCATTCGCCATTTAAGCCACATACTCTCCATTGATACTGATGGTCCTCGCAAGTGGTATCGCACACGAGGGCCGTTTGCTCCATGGCCGTTTCGCCGCACGGGTCGACGGCGTCCTTTTTCGCGGGCTCGAGAATCCCGCAGGCGGTGTCGCTCAGCTCCTTGTTGTCGCTGAGCAGGTGGTCCTCGACGCGCTTGTCCAAAGCCTCCACGACGGGCTGCTCCAGCGGCTCCTCATCCGCCTCGGTACGCCAGTCGATGACCTCCTTGTCGGCCCCACCCAGATCGGGCCTCTGTAGGTCGATGCACACCTGGTTCTCGCAAGTGGTGTCGTTCAGCCCCTCTCTGTCCACGGTGGGCAGGTCATCTTGCACATCGGTGCTCTCGGTCGGCACCATTGCCATGAGCTCCTTAACGGCCAGCTCGCGCTCCATGGGTTTGAGGGCCCGCACGAAGTCCAGCTGGGGGTACTGCCTCAGAATCTCGTCGAGCTGCTGGGGGTCGCCGCTGGGCTCCTCGGAGGGGGTGCAGCTCCTGAGGGGCGACCATCATCTCCTCAACGGGCACCTTGAACGAGTCCTGCTTCGGCGAAGCGGAGTCGAAGCGCAGCTGAGAAGCCACAGGCTCCCCGTCGGAGATGGCGGGCGCCTGGTTGTCTCCCGCCTCCTCGTTAATGAACTTCTTGCCAGAGGCCTGCTGCTCGATGTCGTCCTTCGGAGCGAACAGCTGAGCGCCATCATGGCCTCGATGTGCGGGAGCGGTGGTGAGGCCATCGCCCAGGTGGCTGGGGACGGCGTCCGCGACGAACTCGCAGTGGCCGAATTCGGCGAAGTGCTCCGTGAACGCCTGCTGCTCGTCGAAGGCGTATTGCTCCTCGAAGGCGTGCTGCTTCGCATAGAAGTAGGCGGAGTCGTCGCAGCACAGGCCAGGTGGCGGTCCTGCCGCCAAGAGTCCGGCCAGACGGTGGCTGGCCTGCTGGGCCTTCGCGCATGCGTGGCGCGCAGGCGGGCCCGGCGTGCAGCGCCGCCCGGCGTCGTTCTCGGGGCCGCACGCGGGGGCGGCGCACTCGACGTCATGACAGGCGCCATCTTCTGTAGCGGGCGAAACGCTCCCAGTCGCAGCCTGCGCCTGGGGAGAACCAGGCGGGGCAGGAGGAAACGCGGGCTTGAGCCCTAACCCCCTGGACCTGACCAGAGGCGCATTGCAGTGGTGACCAAGGCCCTCAGAGGCCGCGGTCTTGAGCCAGGAGGAGGAAGAGGAGGAGGAGGTGGAAGAGGAGGAGGAAGAGGAGGAGGAAAAGCAGGAGGAGGAAGAGGAGGAGGAGGAGGAGCAGGAGGAGGAGGAGGAGGAGGTAGAGTCCGCGGCCATTATTGCTCAGGCAGATGTGGCCCAACGTTACACACCATGAAGGGCTGTAGATGCCCGAGAGTCAGCGATTAGTGTTGGCCCATCCGTGGCCATCCCTCGAGGCCGGCAGAAGGCCCAGTTTACCCAGCACGTTCGGCCCCATGGTGAGCCGCCAGCGCTGCCGTGGGCTTTCACTCAGGCTTTCAGCAGAACGGAACGATTCGCTCCGCCATGGCGCCAGGATGGTAATGTGGCAAGCGCGCGATCTACAACTACGGGCACCGCTGCACATGTCGCCAAGCAGGGTGTGACGGATTCAATCCAGTCCAAGCTGTTCCGCCAGATCGGCGTCAACTGTCGCCGTGCATGGTGCCAGGAGGAGTTTGGTACCAAGGCCGTCCCGCGCTGCGCGGGGATGGAGGCAAAGGCGGCGGCAGAAACGACAAGGGCGGCGGGAAGCGTGAGCCTCGTGCGGGCAAGTCCCCCTTGGGCGGGAAAGGGGCCTGGTGGTGCGTCACCGCCGAGGCCGCTCGCTCCCGAGGAGCGCGGGATGTGGCTCTGCATGGTCGTCCTTGGTCAGAGCCTGTCGCAGTCGCACAGAGACCAGGTCACGCATGCCCGAGCGATAGCCCGCTTCGGGCTGGAGGGTGCGCAGGCGGAGGCGCAGCAGACACATCTACATATCGGGAAGCTCTCGCAGCAAATGCTGCCCAAGAAGCAGAGGCTCACGAAGTTGGAGGAAGTTGCGCAGTCAGCCACCGTGTCCGTGCTGGAGGCCAGGAAGCAGCTGCAGGAGACGGAGGTGCAGCTGCAGAATGCCAAGCAGCGGGCGGCGATGCAACTGGGCACGCAGGCGCAGGCCCAGCCCGTGGTCCCAGTCGAGGTGGAAGGGGCCGATCAAGGAAGCGCTGAACAAGTTCCAGGCGGCGGTGCTGAAAGAGCTGGCCCCGCAGCTGCAGGAGGCGTTCATGCCATTTTCAGAGCGCTGTCGAGGCGGTGGCCCAGATGGTACAGCAGGCGGCGGTGCCGCCCGGGGCTGGGCCTGCAGCGGCCGCGGGCGCTGCCGCCGCGGCAGCGGCGGCGACGGCGGCGGCGCCCCCCCCCCCCCCCCCAGGCAGGCGGCGCGGGCGGAGGTGTCGCACCAGCAGAAGAAGCAGCGCAGGTACTTGATGTCCACACTGTGGTGGAAGTTGGTAATGATCTCATGCTGGATTCACGTGCTCCGTTCGAATCTTACGAAAGGCTCAAGGACCCTGGCGCGCAGGCCACCATCCAGAGTCTGTTTGTTCAGCAAGGCTCAGGGGCGGGCCCGGGGAGAGAAGGAGGAGCTGTCGAAGCGTGAGGGGCGCAGCACGAGCCCTGGAGGAAGGCCATAGAGGCCTGGGCGTTGTGCTGCCACGCAGGATCCTTCGCCTCTGGTCTTCCTGCACGGCCGGAGTCACCAGCTGGCCGCGGAGCCCGAGTTTCGAATGCGTGATGGAGCCACTTGTCTCCTTCAGGAGTGCAAAGTCGAGAAGACCAACTTGGCCCAGTCTCGTGGCACCCTCCTGGCGGGTGGAGTCTGTGAGGTGACCCAGTCTGGAGGACTCTCGTCGGGGGTGGGCGTTGCATGTAGCATGAGCGTAGGTGTGGGGGCATTGGAAGGAAAACCGGGAGCAACCTCGAGAGTTGCCTCAGTTTGGATCTGTGGACTGGTGTAGGGCGGGGTTCTCTGCTCGTCTGTGCATTTGCCGTGTGGGGATGGCGCGGATGCTTAAGGGCGCCAGATGCCCCTGCAGCTTGGAAAGTTCCTGCGCATTTCTGGAAGACCCCTCGTCATGGGAGCGGATGCCAACGCGTCTGCGGAGGAGATTAGAGCTCTTGGGATCCCGGAGACATTCGGATGAATTATCATTCAGCCCAGGCAGCCCGCGCGCAGAGTGGGCAATGACTGGTGAACGATCTGTTTGTTTATTGTATCTTAGAGCGCGGCGCCACTGGCGGCCAGATGCGATGGGATTCAGGAGACGGAGCTTGCGACGAACCGCCTCGTCAAGCTAGTTGTCAGGACGGACGCGCACCTGGCCCCGATCCGCGGGCTGGCAAAACCTCGCTTGTTGCCTGGTGAGCTCCCAGCGGGACAATCGCCTTCCCCGCCGTCGGAGTGGCATTCTGTTGTGGATAGGTTAGGGTACATGGCAGGCCCTTCTTTTTCGTCAGAGCAGGCTGAAACCACCTGCACCGAGTTCTGCGCGTTGGCCGAACAGGAGCTGGCGCATACCTGCCAGAATGATCCTAAGCAGGCCGACGGCTTCAAGGGTCGAGGAGCTCTTTTCAGGTTCGTTTGGAAGCAAGCTTTGATAACAGGTGTGTGTGTGTGTGTGTGTGTGTGTGTGTGTCTGCGTGTGTGTGTGTGTGTGCTTGTGTGCGTGTGTCTGCGTGTGCGTGTGTATGCGCGTGTCTATGTGTGTGCGTGTGTGTGCGTGTGTGTATGTGTCTGTGTGCTTCTGTGTGTGATGTGTGTGTGTGTGTGTGTGTGTGTGTGTGCTTTTTGGGGGGCCTTGTCCTGGGCTCTCCTGCGTCCAGGGAGGTCTACAAGGGAGTGCAGTGCCGGGTTGGGGGGGCGTTAATCCTGCTCCGCAAGGGCCATTCAGGCCAGGGCCGGCAGGTGCAGGACCTGCTGGAGAAAGCCAGGGGGCCGCCCGAGATTTCGTGGAAGTGCAAGAGCTGGGTCGCCTGGAGGAAGACGCGCTTCTCCCTGGGTGGCCATCGCGCCGAGCCGCTGCAATCTGCGATCCAGGACCGCGCCGCATTTGCTCAGTGCGCGGGGGAGGTTTGGATGAGGGCTCGACGGCAGGGGCGTTGGCAGCGGGCCCGTTCGGCGCTGGGGAACGGGAAGGGAAGGCCCGCAGCTGGACCAGGCAGCCCAATGACTGGGCGCCCTTGGACCCCGCCCCCGACGGCCCCCCTGGAGGTTTCCAGGATCAGGTGGAGGCCCTGGAGGAGGAGTGGAAGCGCATCTGGAGGTTCGGGGGGGGGGGGGCGCCCGAGCTCAACCCTGAGATGCCCGCTGAGTTAGTTGTCTCTGGAGGGCCCGGGGCCACCCGGGGCGGCCCCGAACATAGGGTCTTGGGGGGGTTCAAGAAACGCGCGGCGGCCCCGGCGCGTGCAGTTTGACCGCGCGCGCTTTGGTGCAGCTCTGCGATTCGGGCCTGCTTGCGCCCAGTGCCCCGGTGTACCCCCGGGGCGCTTTTGCCCAGCTGCCAGAGCAGATCGCGCCGCTCATTTTGCCGTTCACGCAGAAGCCCGATGGGGGGGGCCGATTGGGACCTCCACTCCTGTTAGTTTGCTCAGCAGGTTGAGACATCGTGGCATTGCAGTATGGGAGGGGAGTTATCAGCGCACCTACATGCACGGAGGCAAAGTGAAGAGTTGCGAGATGGAGATTTGGCAGCAGGCCCCGGTGACGGAGGCCGCTCGAGCGGGCCATCAAACCGTTTTGTGGCGTTGGGTCTCGTTTTGAAGAGACGGCGCCCCGCGTTCTCCCCCCCACCCCCCCCTCCTTCCACCCGCTTCCACCTGCCCTTCCCCCATCCCCCCCCTGCGTTTCGCCCGCCCAGCGCGGCGCTTCGCGGCCCCGTAGGGGGCGCCACCGAAGGCCCCAGTGCCACCGCCCGCCTGCGTTCAGCGCACCCATGCCGGCACGCCCTTCGCACGTTTCGTGGCCCCGCAGGGGCGAAGGCCCAGCGCCGCAGCCCGCATGCGTCGCGCACGCCCATTTCGGAACGCACCTCACACGTTTCGTGGCCATATAGGGAGCTCCGCCGAAGGCCCCAGCGCCGCCGCCCGCGCGCGTCGCGCGCGCCCATGTCGGCACGCCCCATCGCACGTTTCGTGGCCCCGCAGGGGACTCCACCGAAGGCGTCGACGCCACCGCCCGCATGCGTCGCGCGCGCATTTCGGCGCAACCCAGTTCATTCGTTTCGTGGCCCCACAGGGAGCTCCACCGAAGGGCCCAGTTCCACCGCCCGCCTGCGTCGCGCACGCCCATTTTGGCACGCCCCTCGCACGTTTCGCGGCCCCGCGGGGAGCTCCACCGAAGGCCCCAGTGCCACCGCGCGCATGCGTCGCGCACGCCCGTCTCGGCACACTTCTCGCACGTTTCGCGGCCCCGCAAGGGGTCTCCGCCGAAGGTTCAGCGCCGCAGCCCGCATGCGCCACGGACGCCCATGTCGGCGCGCACCTCGCGCCCTTCGCGGCCCCGCAGGGAGCTCCACCGAAGGCCCCAGTGCCACCGCCCGCATGCGTCGCGCACGCCCACGCCGGCGCACCCTCGGCACGTTTCGTGGCCCCGCAGGGAGCTCCACCGAAGGCCCCAGTGCCACCGCCCGCGTGCGTCACGCACGCCCATGTCGGCACGCGCCTCGCACGTTTCGCGGCCCTGCGGGGAGCTCCACCGAAGGCGCCAGCGGCTGCGTTCGCACGCGCCCTCCGCGCCCAATTCGGCACGCGCATCACTCGCTTCGCGGCGCCATAGCGAGCTCCACCGGCGGCCCCAATGGCTGCCTTCGCGCGCTCCCACCGCACCTGTTTCGGAACGCTTCTCACGCGCTTCGCGGCTCCATTGGGGGTTCCACCGACAGCCCCAGCGGTTGCTTTCGCATGCGCCCACCAGACAACATGTGGCACGCTCCTCACAGGTTCCGTGGCCTTATAGGGAGGTCCTCCGAATGCGGTGCATACATCGACGGTGTTCACAATTGCATAAAGTTGGGCCGTCCACCAGGCGAGTTCAGCGCCTTTGCGCTGATTGACTTGGAGAAAGCTGATGATCGCATCGCGCATGAGTGTTTGTTCAGAGCGCGTAAGAAACATGGGTTATGTTTGAGAAGATCGAGGTTTCCATTGTTGGTCTGTTCAGGCAAGCTTGGCATTGAGGTCGGAGAGTCAGTGTCTGAGCCCCTCGAGCTGGGCGCCGCGATCGCTGCGGGGCGATATTTTGCCGCGGCCTTGCTCAACGTGGCCCTCCTGGACTTTTTTCGCGCGCGGCGATGGAGAAGTGGCCGAGGATGCGGATCTCTCTGGTGGTGGGCGATTCGGGGTTGCAAGCGGCGTGGGCTCGTAATTATTTTTGAAATACTATCCTGGGCTGCGCGCCGTTAGTCTGCCGAGAGCTCGAGAAGCTCGATGCGAATGTCCTCCGTCGACAAGTGGGCCCTGGTGGCCTCGGACCTTCGCTCGGGTGTGCGTCTGCGTTTGGCCCCCAAGGGGTCCGGTTTCAGGCGTGCCTGGGCGACCAGAAACTTGGGGGTGGACTTCAATGCGAAAGAGGGGAAGGGCAGGAACGCTACAAAACAAAGGCATGCGACGGCGAGGGGTGGGGCCCGAGGGCGCAGGGCTTCCAGGTTCTCCAGGGGGCCATTTCAGATTGTGCGTCGGGGGGGGGGGGGGGGGGGGGCGCCCCTGCCGCTGCGCGCGGGGTCTCCGTGGCAGGGCTGGGCGGTGCCCAGCTTGAGCAGCAGCGCGCTTCCATGGGGGCGCGTCTGTCTGTCTGGGCCCGTCAGGGGCCGATGCCGCGGTCAGCATTTCTCGGTGGCCCGCGTCGAGAAGCTTGATCCGATGTTTCTTGTCAACTCGCTGCCCTTGCAGATGTGGGCTAGAGCTGTTGTTTCACATTATTATTCTTTGGTGACAGACATCCAGATGAAGCTCGCCTTCGACTGCGCCGTCGAGGTCAGGCCTCGCGGGTGTAGGGCTGCCAGAGGCCCTGCAGGGCCAGTTGTGATCACGATGCGGAGACTCGAGTGGGACATCGTTGCCTGGGATGCGCGGGTCAACGCGGACGGCGCGTCCATGTACATCGAACAAGTCTGTCCTGGGATTGTGCAAGCCCTAGCGGATGAAACGACCGGGTGTTTGTTGCGAGCACGCGCAGGAGCTTATTCGCATGTCTAGTGGGAGCCCCGCGCGGAGCCCATTCGATTTGAATTTGCCAGATCAAGAGGTATTAGAGATCACCTTGGGGCGGGCCTTCTGATTGTTTAGGTCTCGGGGGGGCTCTGGATTCAGGCATGCGAGTTCAGGTTCGTGGTCGGCGCCAAGTGCCAGTAGTGCCTCCAGAAGAATGGGCAGATTTACCATAAGCTGTCGGGCTGTGATGGCTCTGAGTTGCTCAGGAGGGATCGCGATCGCAGCGGGCTATTCGCAGCCGCGAAGGCCCTGGCGGGCCCGGAAATCACGCGGACTGGAGCCCTGGTAGACTCCGCGAGGGCCCAGTTCCAGTTCCCCAAGAGCCTTCAAGGAGCTGAGCTCCGCTGGGCGGTCAAGTCCTCGAGTGGGGCTGTGCGTGGTGCGGTTTCCATGTGCGGGTCCGCTTCGACGGCGACGTCCGCTGGCTTCTCTTCGCAGGGTGGGCCCTGTGTCCACGGGCCCGAGCATGGAGATAGATGCAGTGGCCCACGGGCCATCCTCTCTCCCAGTGCAGGGCGCCCCGTCCAGCGAGCTTTAAGCGCTCCGCATGGCCTCGTGTCTGATGGGGCCCAGTATCAACGCGGCCACTGGTTGCCAGACGGCGCCCGATGGGTGGGGGGGCTGAAACATCCAACAATTGTCATGCTGAGCTGTGGCGCCTCATCTGGAACAGGATCGAAGGTGCGGGCGCAACTTCGGTCTCTGTCAGTTCGGTGCCGTCGCGCGCGTCGCAGGCAGCGGCGGGGAGATGCCGCTACGAGCCGCGTTGGTTTCGAGGCGGCCAGGAGGCGGACTCCTGGGCCAAGAAGGGTACCAAGGCGCATCCAGCGAACCATCGTCTTCGGGACCGCATTCGTTATCACCGCGAACGGGTTGCGTATCTATCGAAATCTATGGTGGTTGTATTCAAGCATGTCCATGAGCTTGGGTGTCCTGACGTGTCGACGTATTCTGAGCGCGCCAGGAGTGAGTCTCGGAATTCTGAGGCCCCGATTCTTGAGATTGCACCATGTCGTGTCTGTGGGGCCTCCCGGTCGGTCCGCTCTCGGCCGGTGCAGCTGTCGCGTCCTGGTGCCCCCAGGGTCGTGTCCATGGCTCACCCCGCCCGTCGTCTCTGGCAGAATGGAGGTGTGACCTGGTGGCCCAGGTCCCCGTGGGCACCAGAGGCATGCACATGTGCAGTTGTCGCAGCGCCTTCGAGGCCGAAGCGGTGGCTCTCGACGAAGGCTTAGATGCGTTCCTGGCCGTTTGCAGGTCGGCGTTTCCCCCCCTCTTTCCTGGCATAGCAGTTTCCAGAGTAGCGTTGTAGCATCATGTTCTTTCAACGTGCACCGCATGAGGCTTCGCACGCGCGCAAAGATAAAAGACCTGGTGCGTGCTCTGCGGAGCGCATGCCCGTTTAAAAGTCAAAGGATTAGCGAGGCACTGCCAGGACAAGCCTGACACCGCATGGAAATTGAAGACCCGGGGCGGTTTGGAGCAGGGGAAGGGGCCCCTCGGATCCCAACGTGCAGGCGGTCGTCCCTGTCCCCGTCATGCGCCAATGGGTTTCTGTCCAGGGCGGGAGTTTTGCGTCATCGGGACGACCGCCGAGGGGCGCACGAGCGTAACAGGAGGAGGAGGAGGCGGGGGAGGAGGAGGAGGAGGCGGAGGGGGAGGAGGAGGAGGAGGAGGAGGAGGAGGAGGAGGAGGAGGAAGAGGAGGCGGAGGGGGAGGAGGAAGAAGAAGAAGAAGAAGAGGAGGAGGGGGAGGAGGAAAACGAGGAGGAGGAGGAGGAGGAGGGGGTGGAAGAGGAGGAGGAGGAGGAGAAGGAAGAGGAGGAGGAGGAGGAGGCAATCCGAGGAGGAGGAGGAAGAGGAGGAGGAGGAGGACCAGTGTAAACCCAAGTGTCATCAACGATGTTGGGATGATCCCTCTGTCCAAGCTCACTTCATAGGCCTGTAAGGCGGTTCATTTCCATTGAAGGAACGGCTTCGTTGGGAACCAACCGTTTGAAGGTCTTAACGCATGCCAAGACATGTTTCTCGGGATGTCCACGCCACGGATCAACCTGATTGCTGCGTTCTGACAACATGGAATGGTGCCAGAAGGCCGTTTTTGGAATTTCACCGCGAACGAACGTATTGTTGCACCCGCATAATCTCGAATCTTTCCAAAACGCTATTTCCAGTACGCTGATCATAGGAATCCGTGACAATCTTGCAATTTGTTACGACGAATGCACGCGGCGATTAGGCGAGAGCCACATTTGAAAAAGGAACCGCCTTTACTCCGCAAATCTCTCAAGATATTCATAGTTCCAAACTGGCAATGAACTCTCATGCCGATTCAAGTCCAGCTGTGTTCTCAGTAAATTTTCAAGAGAGAAAACGCAATCAGTGGATGGTTTTAAACTGGATGTAGTGGATGTTGGGATAATTATTCATGGGATTGAACTTAATGCAACGAAAGTATAATGCAATGTGATGTAAGTTTCGGGGTTAATGTAATGTAACGGTTGTAAACTTGACGTAATGCGTGTCGATTGTGAGATCGACAGGGAGATCGATGGTGGGATCGATAGCATAAACGATAGTAAGGTCGCTCGTGAGACCAATCGTGAAGGCGGTCTAGGGAGATCGATTGTGCAATCGATCGTGAGGTCGCTGGAGGTGCTCGGAAAATCAGCTACGTGGGCTGATTCTCTACCCTACCCCCTTTGCTACTCCCCCCTTTCGTTCCCCCGACAGTGGGCGCCTGCCGTTCCTCTCATACCATCGTGAACAACAGAACCCCGAACCCTAATGACACGGTGAAGACGTGGCCTCACTTTGGTTCCAATCTTCGCATGAGGGATAATACGTCTGGGCGTTTTTGTTTGATACATCCCTAGAAATGGGCCCCCTATCCCTAATGTTTTTGGCCCTCTTGACTTAGGTGCCCTCCCAAGGGTTAGTGGTACTTTTTTGGCTTATCATCATAGACAAAGCTTAGTGGAGCAGTCACAAGTTGTTGCGGGACTTGTGGCGGCTTTCTGATTCATGGTTTGCCGATCGGCGCGGGCCCTCGCACCCCCTCCCCCTCCTCCCCCCCCCTCTCTGGCTCCGACGCGGGGGGGGGAGCTACTTAGGGGACGAAACAAAACGGGGTCGACTGCGCCGGCATTGGCGCGTGAGCTGCCCGCGTAAGGTCGCGCGTGCGCGCCCTCGTCTCAAATGTTGCGTGCCGCACTGGCGGCCCGCGTCAACCACCGCAGGTCGCCGTGCCTTCCCGCGTAAGACCCCCTTTTTTGATCGTCGCTCGACTGACACCGTCCGTTCCTCTCATAGAGAAGGAGTAGTGAAACCACCACAGGTTGTTGAAGGACTTGATGGCCACTCGAGGTCATCATTGACAGGCCTTTGGGCGAATGTTTTGCCAAGGTGGCCCAGGATGCGCTAAGGCGGCGGCCTCTGGGATTGCACAAGATGGAGGGCGGGGGGGGGGATCGGCAGCAACAGCAGCGGCAGCAGCAGCAGCAGCAGTTGCGCTGGTGGGACCAGCGACGATTCGCTGGGTAGGGTGCAGAGATCAAGTACTCCACCGTGCAGAACTGGTACGCTGGAGACAAGGACGCGTGTTCGCCTTGGTGCGCACCCGCACTCATCCTCTTAGCCTCTTTTCTTGCCGACGGCGGTGCCTACATGCCATCGCGCCTTCCAGTGGCGTTTAGATATTCAGACTGCTCCTCGAAGTCATGCGTTGCCGAGTGATCTGATTATTGCTCTATGTTTTGCATCGTGCATGCTTTTTCGCAGGGTCTCCACCCATCGGACGCAGGACGGAAACGGCGGAATCCTGAACTTAGTGACCAAGCGCGGGTAGGGCAGGGAGGGAACGCAAAGGCATATAATTATCGAGCTTGCACGAGCGGTGACTGGTTCTTCTTCCAGCCCCCTATCCGTCCTGCCCTTCTCCATCATGCCTGCCTGCCTCCCTCCCTTCGTTCCTCCAGGCTCCGCGGGAGCATCTTGCAGCATCTGCGTGGCCGTTGTGCCATGTGGGGCGGAACGTGGGGCAGCTTGTAGCCCTCTTGGGGCGGTCCTGACCCGACCTGGACCCATCTTGAGGCTCAGAAGACTTGGCGTCGCTCGGATGTTGGCATTTTTCAAGGTGTGGAAAGTCGAGGAGCATCCCAGGTCATCTAGCAACACGACAGAGCACGCGCGAAACCAGGTGATGCACGGGGAATGGATGTCCGAGCGATGAGAAGGAAGCTCGCCAGGGAACACAACGCCATGGGGTGCGGGGGAGCGAGCTTCAGGGCGTGCGTGCTGCGAGGGGCGGGAGGGCAAGGGGCGCCCCTGGAGCACCGAGCCGGCGGAAGCCCTGCCGTGCGACCAGCGTGCAATAATCTTGACGCGCCCCCCGCGTGAGGTGGACTTCTCCCCCTCGGCATCGCTCCGACGTGTGTACGTTCCCCCGCAGGAGCAATCGAGGAGCATCTTCGGCCAACTTGCGAAGAAATATGCGCACGGAGCCAAACAAACATGCACGAGGAATGGGCGTCAGAGCGTCGGCGACGCATCGGGGCGCGGCTCCCGGGCGGGGGGTGGGCCCTCGCGGACCCCCGGGATCTATCCTTGAGGGTTTGACGGCTTTTGGTCAATCGACTTGTGGGGATCGAGCCGAGTACATCAAGATGAACGCAGAGAAATCGAGGGAACTCCAGGCCTTTGTGGGCCCCGGAAACGGCAGGGCCGTTTTTTCACCGTTTCCAAAAGAATGTCCCTTGAACCTGGATCCGGTCAAAAAACGGCGACGGAACCGGTAAAAAAACGGCGTCTGAACCGGCCAACAAACGGCAAAACGGAACCGGTAAAAAAACAGCCTTTTCGTTTCCAGGGCCCACTAAGCTCCAGGCACATCTGGGCAAAACCAGGTAAGTCCAGGGCAGATCCAGGTGACTCCAGAGCTCTCCACCGCCAGTCTGGAGCGGAGCGCGGCCGCTCCAGCGCGAGAGTCGAGGGCTTAGAGCGCTCCACGCCCTCCGCACCGGCGGCGCCGACGATGCAGCGCTGTTGCCGCCGCTGCGCCGGCGATGCGCCGGCGCGTCGGCGCGATCCTCCTCCTCCTCCTCCTCCTCCTCCTCCTCCTCCTCCTCCTCCTCCTCATCCCCTCCTCCTCCTCCTCCTCCTCCTCCTCCTCCTCCTTCTCCTCCTCCTCCTCCTCCTCCTCCTCCTCCTCTTCCTCCTCCTCCTCCTCCTGTGGGAAAACACACAACAGTTTTTTCCCACAGACACAGACGGTGTGTGTTTTTGCCCACAGACTGTGTGTTTCCCACAGGCACACCGTGTTTTGTTCTCCCACCTTGTGGTTTTGTGTGTTTGTTTGTGCGTGTTGCGTGTTTTTTGTTCGTTTTCCCCACCTGCTCGGACGCCGTCGCAGCGACGCACGAAAACGGGGTCCTCTGAGCCGGCACGGGCGCGCAAGCTGCTCGCGTGGGGTCGCGCGCCAGCGCCCCCGTCTCCAGTGCGGCGCGCTGCGGGACGGCGGCCGGCCGCGCGCCGCCGCGAGAGGTCCACGTGGCATCTCGCGCAGGACCCCTTGCTTCTCTCGGGTCGGGCGAAAGGGGGGGATTGGGAAAGGGGGGGTTACGAAATTTGCTGCATGCAGCTGATTTCGGCCTCACCGAGGGGCCCATTCCTCGATACATGGCCGCCTCCGGCGCCGGGAGGCGCCGGGAAAATCAGCTACGTGAGCTGATTCTCAAACCCCCCCTTTGCTATCCCCCCCTTTCGCCCGACCCGATTCTCGTCGCCCAGATGGAGTCCGAGCATCGGGCCGAACGAAAGGGGGGGATAGGGAAAGGGGGGGTCACGAGATTTGCTGCATGCGCACGGCGCCCTGGGCACGGCGCTCTTGGGCACCACTTTGCTGCCGCGGACCCTTGGCTCTTCGGGCTGGACGCGTGGGCGGCAGGAGAGCGCCACGCAAGAGAGGCAGCGCGTTGGCTCGACTGGACTGGTGAACCCGAGGCAGAAACTGGGGCCGGACGAATGGGGGAGATCGGGAAAGGGGGGTTGCGAGATGTGCTGCAGGCGGCCGGTTTCGGCTCCGCCGCTGAGCCCAGCCCTCGATGCAGGGGCGCCTCCCGGCGCCAGGGGGCGCCTGGAGAACCAGCTGCGCGAGCTGATCCTCTGCCCTGCCCTCGTCTATCCGGCCCTGTCGTCCCCCCCCCCGGGAGAACAGGGGAGGGGGTCAGACGTCGTCAGGCCTCCCAGATACCGGGCGAGGGAAGAGTCGGAGGTTGATAGACCTCCTACCCTGACACGTCGATTAGTGAATTGGCCGTTTTCGGTTCGCGAGAGGGCGTCGCGGACGTCCTTTTTGCGGGTCCAGGTCCGTCGGTTTCGGTCTTAGACCGTTTTCACTAAGGGGAGGTTTACTAAAGGGAGGTTTGTCCACCGCCGAATCCTTGATCCTTCGGCGAAGAAGAAGCACGCACGAAGCCGAAAAAAGCACAGGGAATGGACGTCCGAGCGATGGCGATGGTCGCGAGCTCCTTCTCGGAAGCCTCCGTTGATACAGTCGGGGCGCTGAAAAAGGAACCCTCTTCGTTGGGGAGGGGCTCGGTGTTCCTTCATCGTGCCACACCTTGCCTAAGGTTCTCCTTACATTCTCGACGGGAAGTCGAAGTTCCACTGATGGAAAAAGGGGCCTCGTTCCTTATTTAGGATTCCTTAGGTCAACGCCCCGACTGTATCGTGGGCGCAAGCCCTCGCCGGCTGGGCCCCTGGCTCGCGCCCCGGGATCCAGACCGCGAGGGCGCGGGTGCGAACAGGTTCGCCGCTCGTGGGGGATATGATTCGGGTAGGTAGGGTTCGTAGGAGGAGGAAGATGAGAAGGAGGAGAAGGAGAGAAGTAGAAAAAAGGAGGAGGAGGAGGAGGAGAAGGAGGGAGAGGGGCAGGGAGTCAGCTGCTCCGAGGCGGGGTGTACGTGGCGCGAGCGCACCCCACCTGCTTCTCTGTCCTCTGCGCTCTCCGTCTGCCTCTCCCGCTCCACTGCGGCCCCTCCTCCTCCCCCTCCCCCTCCCCCTCCTCCCCCTCCTCCCCCTCCTCCCCCTCCTCCCCCTCCTCCCCCTCCTCCTCCTCCTCCTCCTCCTCCTCCTCCTCCTCCACCCCCTCCTCCTCCCTCTTCTCCTCCTGTCGGGGGGGAGGCTCTGCGAAGGGAAGAAGTCCAAGATCTCGTGGACTCAGGTCGAGACAGGTGCGCTGTTCTGTGATCACCGTGCGTTAGCGACAGCAGCAGCATTGGCAAGATGTACTTAGAGAGGATGATTTGTGCAGTGTTCTCATTCTTCGTTGTTGAAGGCCTTCCTCGGCGACCCCTTCAGTATGACATTGTGGGCTGCCTTCTCTGGATAAGTAAGAGAAGGGGAGGATGCTGATGGGATGGCGGAGGTGGTGGTGATCATGATAGAGAAGGAATGCGATACTGATGAGGACGACGGTCAACAGTACCAGCCCTGTGTAGCGGGATGTGGCGCATTGTCTTCGGGTGCCCTTTTCAATTGCGATGATGTTTTCACTTGTTGTTGTTTGCATCCAAACTGAACTGTCCACGCAACTCCGCTGCAGGCTCCGCCGTGACTTGGAAGTATCCGTCGTGCATCCTGAAAGGCGAGCAGTCTGTCGGCGAATTCTATTCGGTCGCCCTGACAAACAACAAGCAACAGGCCTTCTCGTCCACTTCCAAAGTAATGGATGAGGGATTTGCTGCTACTTGAGAGAATGTTGTTTCATGTCCGCCCATTCCTCTCGGAATGCAGCCGCGCAGAGGAAGTGGCATTTTCCGGGCAGCTGCGCGTTCCATCACGAGTGTCCGTTGTCGCCGTTGGTCGGTCATCCGCACACGCGTCCTCCGTGGCTCCTCTTCCTGAGGCGCCCAGATCAGCATTTGTTCATCCTGTGCAGGAGGAAAGAGACCGTTGTTTCATTACTTCCGGACGTAACTCGTGTTACCCCCCCCCGTAGCGGTGACGTGGGGAAACTGGCTACAGGCGTGAATGCGTGCATATTCCCATAGAGGAGTTGGAGGAGGAGGAGCAGCAGCAGCAGGAGCAGCAGCAGCAGGAAACGGAAGATGATGATGAGGAGGAGGCGGAAGAGGAGGAGGGAGGAGGAGCTGTGTAGGAGGTGAGGAAGGGGAGGAAGAAGAGGAGGAGGAGGAGGAGGAGGGGCAGGAGGAGGAGGGAGGAGGAGGAGGAGGAGGAGGAAAAGGAGGGGGTGAAGGAGGGGGAGGAGGAGGAGGACGAAGACGACGACCGACGTGGCCCGGAGGCCTCGAGAGGTGCACGCAGGCACGGCGGCCTCGTGGGGCACACGGTTGTTGCCACTGTTTCTGCGGCAACAGGTGGTGTACAGAAACGTTGTGGTGCACGCAGGCATCGGGGTGCATGCAGGGCGAGCTCACACAAATAATGTGGTGCACGCAGGCTCGGTGGTGTACACAAACGCTGCGGTGCATTTGATTGTTTGTTGGGCGCATGCAAGCGCAATTGTGCACGCAGGCGCTGTCGTGTACACAATCACTGTGGTGCATACAGTGCGAGTGCACTGTGGGCGCTCGTACAAGTACGTACTATTACGATTACTATGAGGATTTCTCTTACTACCACTACTACTGCTACTACTACGACTACTACTACTACTACTACTACTACTCCTACTCCTACTACTACTACTACTACTACTACCACTACTACTACTACTACTACGAAGACGAGGACTACTACTATTACTACTACTACTACTACTACTACTACGACTACTACGACTACTACTACTACTACTACTACTACTACTACTACTAGTACTACTACTACTACTACTACTACTACTACTACTACTACGACAACCACTACTACTAGTAAGACTATTATTACTACTACTACCACTACCACCACTGGTACTACTATACTACTACTACTACCACTACCACTACTACTACTACTACTACTACTACTACTACTACTACTACTACTACTACTACTAGTACTAGTACTAGTACTACTACTACTACTACTACGACTACGACTACTGCTACTACGACTATCACTACTACTACTGCTACTACTAGTACCACTACTACCACTACTAGTATCAGTATTACGATTAGTACCATTAAGTATTACTACCACGGCAACTTCTGATATTACCATTACTACTGCCACTGCTACTGCCACCACTGCTACTACTTACACTGCCATCATTAATCGTACTACTATTACTACTACTAATACTACGACTACTACCGCGACTACTGCTCCTTATACGACTACTTTCTTACTACTACTACTACAACTGGTAGTAGTAGTAGTAGTACTACTACTACTACGACTACTACCACGACTACTACTACTACCACTACTATTGCTACTACTACTACTACTACTGCTACTACGACTACTACTGCTACTACTACGACTACTACCACGCTTGTTACTACCTACTACTACGACTACTACTACTACTACTACTACTACGACTACTACGGCTACTACTAGTACCACTACCTTTTACTACTACTACTACTACTACTACTACGACTACTACTACTACTATTACTAATACTACTACCACTGCTACGACGACTACTACTACTACTAATACTACGATTACTACTACTATCACTAATACGACCAGTACGACCTCTACCACTACTACTACTACTACTACTACTACTACTACTACGACTACTACTACTACTATTACTACTACTACTACTACTATTACTACTACTACTACTACTACTACTACTACTACTACTACTACGACTATTATCACTACTACTACTACTTTTACTGCGACTACTACTACTGTTACTAGTCTACTCACACGAATACTACCATTAGTGTAGTTTTTCATTTTGTACCACTACTACTACTACTACTACTACTACTACTACTACTACTACTACTGCTACTAGTTCTACTACTACTACTACTACTGCTGCTTCCTTTGGTCATGTTAGTACTACTCGTAGTAGTAGTACTCCTGGTAGTACTACGAGCACTACTCGTACTAGTAGCACTATTCGTCTTACCATCCAGTACTACCAGCGCTACTAGAGTTAACTTCTAGTACCACTAGTACTAGAAGGACTACTAGTACTGGCCGTGCTCCTGCTAGTACTAGTACTCGTGTTGGCACTAGCACTCGCCGCGGCGGCCGCCATTACCAACACCTCCCCCCCTCCCCCCCATGTACCACGTGTTTTCCCCAGGAGAAAAAACAAACTATGAGTCTCAAAGGAGGAGGAGTCGGGGATGTTTGAGGAGGAGGTGAACGACGGGGATTGAGGAAGAGCAGGGAGACGAGGTTCGGGGAACCAGCAATGACCTAAACGTATAAGCTCGGAGGTCCAGGCGGGCCTCAGGGTTATTAAGGTTATGCCATGTTCCGTTGTTGAAAACCCTTCCCGCCTTCCATAACAGCAGCTTTTTGCGCATCGGGACGGCATCTGCCACAGGTCGGGCGAAGAGAACTATGCACATGCACCGATCCTGGCAAGGCCCATCCTTGACCCAGGATCGGTGGATATGCCTTCCTGGCCAAAGGTAGGAGGGCGTATGCACCGATCCGGGGCTCAGGATGGGCCTGGCCAGGATCGGTGCATGTGCATAGTTCTTTTTCCTCCGACAGGGTCAGGTCGCTCGCTCTGTTTCTTTCTCCCGTGGCCGTCGGTCTTCTCGTCCTTTCCGTACGTTGTCCTCCCTCCCTCCCTCCTTCCTCCCTTTTTGTTACTTCTCCTGCTCGCTCCTCCTCCCCCATCCCCCTCCCCCTCCTTCCCCCCCTTTTCCTCTTCTCGTAGGGGGCTCGGAGGGGTGCCGCTGGGGTGCCGGCGCGCGGGGGGGAGGGCGCCGCCGCCCGCCCGGCGCGTGGCCGAGTTACGGCCGAACTCGGCCACGCGGGGCGCGGACGGTAGCGCCCCGACGGTGCCGCGTAGGATGGTCGCCTGCTCCCCCCGCCCCTCCCCTCCGCGCTTTTCTTCGCATGGGGAGCCCGGGGTGGGAGATGGTGCAGTGGGAGGGGGCCGCCCCCCTCGCGGCCACACGGACCCGTGGCTGAGGCGTCGTGGGGGGACCGGACGCGCCAATCCCATCCCCCTTGGCGGACGGGGGCGCCGCGCTCCCCCATGAAAGGTATCCCGTGGGGCAGCGGCGCCCCCGACTCCCCAAGGCGCGGGAGCCGAAGGCCCAGGGGGCGGATGTTTTCCCGCGCCAGGGAGTCGCCCGGCCCCTCGGGGACCCCCCGGGGGCCGTCCGGAATAACATAGTCCGAAACATAGTCCTCCCTCCTCTCCGCCTCCCTCCTCCCTCCTCCCTCCTCCCTCCTCCCTCCTCCCTCCTCCTCCTCCTCCTCCTCCTCCTCCTCCGCCTCCTCTCCTCCTCCTCCTCTCCTCCCCCCTCCTCCCCCCTCTCCTCCCCCCTCCTCCTCCCGTCCTCCCCCCTGCTCCTCCCCCCTCTTCCCCCTCCTCTCCTCCTCCTTCTCCTCGTCTTCCTTCGTTAGTTCACGCCCATGCTCGCAGCGGCGAGGCCGACACCGGCACCAAGATGGTGCACATCGGCAAGGGGTCGAAGTCCAAGATCATATCCAAGGGAATATCGGCTGGATTCTCGAAGAATGCATACCGCGGGCTGGTTGCATTTCGTGGAGGACTTTGCTCCCCCGCTTGCCTGTGCAATCGCCAGTGCACCTGCGCCGCTGTCCGCGAGAGGCTGCTGTCTCCTTGTGTCCTGACTGTGATGGGTCGCTTGCGGAGTCTCCACGGCGGTCCGGTCAACCTGCCCATTTCTAAAGTCGGGTGCGTTTGCGTATTTCGGACGGGGCTAGGACGAGGATCAATCCGTTCCAGAGCGTTCTGGAACGCTCCCAGAGCGTTCCGGAACGCTCTGAGCAGGCCGCGGCGCCCGAGACCTTCTCCAGAACCGCGGGATGTCAGAGATTTTTGATTTATCCCGACCCGATTGGAGTCTCGTCCTGGCTTCGTCTTGCTACTCATTCTATGGATTCTCAGTGGATGGCTCAATGCCGCTTTCCAGCAAAGGCGCTCGTGTCCCTTGCAGGCAACCCCCCCTCCACGCAGCGCTCGAGGACGGAGCTGCCGTGCCAGATGCCCCCGCCGTGTTCTCCCGCTCCTCCCGCTGCTGCTGCCCCGCCCCCTTCTCCACTAGTCAGGGGCCACGCTGGGGGGGGGGGCAATCTTCTCGGAACCCAGGTTTTCTGTCCTCACGTTTCCCTTTCGGCCACGTTTCCTCCTTTCGCTTTCCTTACGTCTACGTTTCCTCCCTTAGGTTTTCCTTAGGTGTTCCTTCCTCACGCTTTCCTGCCTTCCGTTCTCCTTCCCTGGGTTTCTCCTTCCTTGCGATTGTCCTCGGACTCGGACTCGGCCACGGGGTTTCCTGCGTTTTTTCGTTTCCTGGCGGTTGTCCTGCCTCGGATGATGCGCGCCTGCAGGCTGCTGCGCCTCGCTGGGGGGCGTCCCGGGCTTGCCTGGATCGTCCCGAGAGCGGCCGCCGGGGGGACGAGTTTGAGGCCCCGAAAGCCACGAGGCCGCGCTATGGAGGTTCGCTAGGCATCGCTCGGACGTGTGCATTCTTCTTTCGGCGAGGACCATCGAGGAGCATCTTTGATCATTTGGCGAAAAAGCCACGCACGAAACCGAAACAAACACAGGGGAGGGACGTCCGAGCGATGGCCAGTTCGGGGTTCGGGTTCGAGGTTCGAGGTTTCCGGGCGTCGTCGGCGTGTCTCGGGGTTTTCCAGCCTCGGGGTGCGCTCCAGCGGCTGCGCCTCGCCGAGGGCGTTCCCGGGGGGGGGGCCGGATCGTCCCGAACAGCCGCCGGAGAGCCGAGTTATGCCCCGACAGCCACGGGGCACCGTTAGGGGGGGATAGGCTTAACTCGGGCGTGCCCCCCTACAGTACAGGGGGATTGAAATAAAAAATGCCCCAAAAATAATCCAAACATAGTGTGGGGACTATTTTTTGAGTATTGTTGACCTTTTTGGAATATCTTTGGGGTATTGATAATTTGTCCACGAAAATCCCCCTGTAGGGAGACAGGCCCGACAGAAGGATAGGCTCAGGTGGGGATGCATCGATCCCGAATAGCCCACTCACTGATGGGGGCCCCACAGCTCCACCCCGCCAAGGGCCGCGCGCTGTCGTCGGCGAGGGGCGCATCGCCGATCTATGGGCGAAGTGTCTCATCCTCCTCCTCCTCCTCGCCCTCCCCTCCTCCTCCTCCTCCTCCTCCCCCTCCTCCCCCTCCTCCTCCTCCTCCTCCTCCTCCTCCTCCTCCTCCTCCTCCTCCTCCTCCTCCTCCTCCTCCTCCTCCCCCCCTTCGAAGGAGAAAGAAACCTCATAAGCATACACTTTTGGTGCTCTGCGCGGATGTCCTGGATCTGCGCTGTGTCCCCCTGCGGCGCGATCCGCGCGCGCCAGGGAGGGGGGTCAGCGCAGATCCAAGAGATCCGCGCGGAGCGCCACGGCTTTGATCATGTTTATGGCGTTTGTTATTCTTCCTCCTCTTCGTCTTCTTCGTCTTCTACCTTTCTCTTCTACCTTCTTCTTCTTCTTCTTCTTCTTCTTCTTATTCTTCCTCTACCTTCTTCTTCTACCCCCCTTCCCCTTTTATTCTACCCCTCTGAGCTTGCCCCCCCTAGCAACGCCCCTGAGCTAGTGGCCTTGGCACCGTCCCGCCAGCGTAACCCCGGTGTCTTGGCACCGTCCTGGGCGGGAAAAGGTCCTCTGGGTACCTGGCCTGGCGAACGCTCTTTGAACAGGTCGGAGTGTTCTGATCGATCCCCACTCCTACTGGGCCAGGAGGAGGAGGAGGAGGAGGAGGAGGAGGAGGAGGGGAGGAGGGGGAGGAGGGGGAGGAGGGGGAGGAGGGGGAGGAGGGGAGGAGGAGGAGGAGGAGGAGGAGGAGGAGGGAGGAAGGAGGAGGAGGAGAGGAGGGGGAGAGAGGAGAGGAGGGGAGGAGGAGGAGGAGGAGGAGGAGGAGGAGGAGGAGGAGGGAGGGGGTACCTCAGCCCATCAGCCCACCCAGACCCAGGTGGGGATAGGTCTCGCGAAGCCCGGCAGGAGCTGCGCACATCCCCGCCCAGAGGGGTAGCCCGGCCAGTCAGTGGGTTTTGGGCCATGTCAGGTGTGTGTGTGTGTGTGTGTGTGTGTGTGTGTGTGTGTGTGTGTGGAGCAAGGGCTCCAACGAGGGCGCGAAGCTATTCGCGCTTCGCGTTCCTCGTTTCTTCTCCCCCTCCTCCTCGTCCTCCTCTTCTCCTTTTGGAGGGGCGGCGCGAGAGCGCGAAGTTATTCGCGCTTCGCGGAGCGCGAAGCGCGAAGTTGGGATCCCAATTTCGCAAGACGCATGTGAGAGGCTTTTGGGGCCCAGGGGGCTCGCGCGCCACGCATCGGGAACGCCAATGAACTCCGTGCGATCAGGTGTCTGCGCCCCTCAGAACCCTGCGGTTTCTCGGGCACTCACAACCGCATGATACCGAATAGGCATCGCAGAAACTGCATCAACATAAACTTTACGAGGGCCGCGCGGATTTCTTGGAGTCTGCGCTGGGACACCTGGTGGCGCCTCTGGCGCCGCCCCTGGCGCGCTCCGCGCGCTGGGGACGGGAAGGGCCGGCGCCGAACAAAGAGATTCGCGCGGATTTCCGAACATGCATGGTTATGCCGTTGGTTGTTTCTCCCAACAAGGGGGTGCTCCATTACAGCCAAGAGGCAGAACAAACACACACAGGTCAGTTTGGGCTCTCTGTTTTTTAGGCTCCTTCCACGGCTGTTCCCTAGGGCTCCTCGTGCACCCACGCGCTTTCGGGGCCAAACAGGGGCATCGTTCCTCATATAGCGTTGCTAGTGGTATGACTGCACGTGCTTGAGGCAAGGTGACGGGCCCTCTGAGAGCGAGAAAGAGTGAGAGAGAGAGGATTATATTATTATGATGTTCCAACCTACTTTAGCCTTGATCACCAGGAAGAACTTCGAGCGCCAGAAACAAGTACTCCAAAACTCAAGGGTTCTCACGTGCCGGGCCCTGGGAGATATTCGTTCGACACTGTTTCGACACTCTTTCGAAACTCTTTCGACACTTTTCTGGGTGCTCGAAATTATTTCTGGGATGTGGTCCTTAAGTAAGATGGGAACAACATAATTCTATTATCGAGGCACCGCTGTTTTTCGTTAGTCCGAGTCGGCTCCTGCGGAGCTGAGAAGGGGCTTCGCAGGACAAGCCAGTCGGTGCTAGAAAAAAGGAGAGAGCAGGAGAAGAAATAAGACCATGCAGACGGAGGAGGAGGAAGGAGGAGGAGGAGGAAGAAGAAGAAGAGAATGCGCACGGAGGAGGAGAGGAGGGGGAGTAGGAGGAGAAGGAGGAGAAGCAGGAGGAGGAAGAGGAGAAGGAGGCGGAGGCGGGGGAAGAGGTCGAGGCGGAAGAGGGGAGAACTCTTGGAGGACTCTCAGCGTCAGCCTCTGAGTGCCGATGGCGCTCCCCGACCGCGCCCAGGAGCCTCGCGCGGCCGGAACTTCTCCCAGTGCGACTCCCTCTTGATCCCAGGGGCTTCCGCCCCTCCGGCGACCCAGGAGTCGGGGGAGGAGGCGCGCAGCTGTGCGCTCACGCTCGTCCGCTGGGGCGGCACCGTGGCTCGGGATCGGTCAGTGTACGCCCTCCTGGCCCAGCCAGGGGGGGCAGAGTCTCCAGTCCTGGGCTCAGGATGGTCCTGGCCGGGTCGATGGGCTCCCGGTGGTGGCCGGTGACTAGAGTTGAGTCGGGCATGTCCCTGTAGAGGTAGAGTATTAAAAATTGTCAAACAATACGTAGTCTGGAGACGATGTTCGCAGCTTTTCTTACAGTTTTTGCAGATTGTTGGGGGTATTTATTTTTCGTCCAAAGTCCGCCTGTAGGAGGACAGGCTAGATCTAAGACTAGAGTTTGCCCAGGTTCAGCAGGATCGTGGACTCCTGGGGGCGGGCGCGGGGAAGGCGGGCAGTCAGCCAGAGCCGTGCGTCGTGAGGCGGATGAGCAACCCTTCTGGGGCGAGCAGGAGGGAGGCGCGACGAGAGGACCGAATTCTAAGGGGGCAAGCGACGTCATCGAAGCGCGCGCGCCCTCCAATGAACCCTCCTCGAGGCCGTCCGATCCCTTCCAAGGCCCCCCCCCTTGCCTTTTCAGCCAGCCGCCGCCCTCGGCCCCTTCTCCCCGACAGCTGCCCGGGGGATCGACCCTCGGAGAGACCTCGGCTGGCTGTGGATATGGCTACTCGGGCAGGGGTATTGCCATTTATCTATGTATATATATATATATACACATGTGGGACTGTCTGCATGCATGCATGCATGCATGTATGTACGTATGCATGTATGAGTGTATGGGCGGATGGATCGACGGATGGATGTGTTGTTGGATGGAGGGTTGGGTGGATGGATGGATTTGTGGATGTATGGACGTACGGATGTTTGCGTACATGCATGCATGCATTCATGTGTGACTGTATGTATGTGTGTAAACATTCACGCATATACGGATGCCTGTATATACGCATGTAGTGTGTATACACATATATATATATATATATATATATATATATATGTAACCATGCAAGTACTCATGCATGTGTCCTTGTATGTAAGCATGCGTGTTTGAATGCATGTATGCATGTATGAATGTGTGCATGTGTGTACGTCAATATGCAAGTGTGTGTATGCATGTATGCACTCATGCAAGCTCGTATGTATATGTGTGCCAATTTGTATCATGTATGTATGTATGTATGAATGTATGTAGGTATGTATGTATGTATGTATGTGTTCATGTATGTATGTATGTAGGTGTTTATGCATGTGCATGTATGCATGTATGGCTGGATTGATGCATGCGCGCATGCATGTATGTATGTATGTGTGCATATATATATATATATATACGTGTATGTATGTATGTGTGTATGTATGTGTGTATGTACGTATGTGGGTATGCATGCATACATGCATGCATGCATGCATGCATGCATGCATGCATGTGTACTTATTTATGTGTGTATACATCAATGTATTGTTGTACATATGTAGGCGTGTGTAGTTGTGTACATATTTGTATCGGTGGTAGGTATGTATTTATATGCATGTATGTATGCATTATAAATGAATGAATGCAATTATGCATGTATTGAGTGAGCACAGGTCGTTCATGTAGTGTATGTATGTTTGTATACATGCATGCATGTATGTATGTATGCTTTCTTCATGCATACATGTCTGTAAGTATGCACGTATGGATGTATGCGTGTATGCATGTACGGATTAATGAACTTGAACATGGAGATGAATGTGTGTGTGAGGTTCCCCTTCCGTTCGACAGTTGTTTCTGGGTGAAGATCCCATGACTCAGATTCGTTTGGGGCCGCCCGCGGCCCGCCTTTGTGACTGCATAGATGGATCCTCCGGCGGCGGCGGCGCCGGCCACCGAGCGCGCTGAGCGACCCAGCCGCTGGTGGGCCCTGGGCTGGCTGCTCGTGGGCCTGAGCGTAGCAGGCCTGGTGGCGCGTTCGGTTTGGCACGCCAAGACGGGCCGCGAGGCGGTCAGCCGAGCGGGGCAGGCGCTCGGGCTGGCAGCGCTAGCCTGCCTGGCTTGCTGGTGGCGCGCCGGCTTTTCCGAGGCAGGCACGACCGACGAGATCGACGACGACTGTGCTGAGCTGGAGCGGCTGCAGGCGCAGTTGGCGGCTCTGGAGCTGACGGCCGCCACGCCGGGCGCGGGCGCCGCGGGCCCCCCGCCTGGGCCAGTGGCTGCGCCCGCAGGCATGCCGCCGCTGCCCCCCCCGCGGGCGCCTCTGTCCCCGCTGCGCCGACGGCCCCCGCGGGTGACGGGCCCATGTCCCCCGCGTGGGGGGCGCTGGGCGGCTCGCCAAGCCCGAGCGCCGGGTTGGCCCCGTCGGCGCCCAGCCCAGCCGGGGCCGTGGCGGGGCAAGCTCTGCCTCCGCCCGCGGCCGCCTCAGCACAGCGCGCGTGGGCGGAGCTGGACGCGCTGGCCAACGCGCAGCCGGCAGACCCATGGTGGGGGACGAAGTTCTTGCATCGGGTGGTTGCTTTGGACGCAGCTGGCGCACTGGAGCCCAGCGTGGAGGAGGCGCTGGCAGCCCGCGGCCACGTGGGCCCGACGACGGCGGGCGCCCCTGATGCAGACAGCCTGCGCCGGCTGCTGCGAGGCATCGAGAGCGCGGCAGTGGCAGCCGCCAGCGGAGCCGACAGCGCCCCTCTCGCCGCGTGGGGAGGCTTCATGTGCTCAAATGGCGTGGACCCGTGGGCCCATAGCCTCCCCCCAGACTTGCGACGTGCTGCTGGAGAGATCTACCGTAACATACGGAGCGCAGGCTCGACGTCGGCGCGCAACTGGTTGACCAGCAACCACACCGGCCCCAAGACGTCCGAGCCATGGCAGCACCTGTGGGCGATGGCCACATCCATCGACTTCGCCCTTGGGCGGCATCACATCGGATGCGGACATGTGCCAGCGGCTGAACACAGACGACAACCTCGAGCTGGCGCTCCGACATCTGCCCGCCCGCGTGCACGTGTAGCGGACGAAGGACTTCGTCGGGGGGGCTGGGTTGAGAGCGGCGGCCGCGCCCGGCAGCGCTGTAGATATAGCCCTTGGATGGCTGATCGGCGGAGCGACGCTGCGCCCCAAGCTAGAGGTTAACGAGATGAGCGAGTGCACGCTAAGCTACGCCGCCGAGGCAGGGGAGGGCAGGACGCCGCCAACCCACAGGGGAGCCCCAAGGGGGGTAACCCTAGGGGGAGGCTAGTCCCCCAGGGCCTGAGACTGCGGCGCCAGGGAGGGGCCTTGGCAGCCGGGGGCCTCTCCGCGTCAATTGGATCTACGGCTGCGACTTCAGGAGGAGGAGGAGTGCGGCGCCACGGTGCCGCTGATGCCGCACCATCCTTGCTGCCTAGGGCCAATGCCCTCCAGGCCCGCGCTGACTCGGCGGGGTGAGTTCCCGAGCTGGAGGAAGTGGCGGAGGCTTTCCTGCGCCGCTCGACCTGCGCGCCGATGCCTCGGACTGCCCGACCCACCCTCTTCTTCGGCGTCGTCGGCGGGGCGGCCTCGGCAGCAGGCAGCTCGCCGAAGGGCAACGTGCAGGGTGGAGAACCAGATCAGCGAAGGTATCAATCGGATGCACGCGGGCGCCATGCAACAAGGAGCTGGCGGTGGAGCTCGACGCAAGGATCGACGAGGAGATGGCTCCGCCGCAGGCCTGGCTCAGCTGCAAGCAGCGCGTCTCGGGTCAGACGAGAGCGAGGCCCAGAAGGGGCGGGGATGTCTGTCGCTGAGTTCGCGGGCCAAGTTCGGTCGCTGAAGCAGCTCAGCTCGAGGGCGACGGTGGCCCCGCACGCGTTTGCGGGCCAGCGGCGCCGGGGCGACGCGCGGCAGTTCATCGAGCATCTGTCCGACCAGCGCGGCACGGGGACCTTCGTTTCAGCGTCGACCTCGCCATCGACAAGAGGTGGGGCTTCAGCGACCCGCGCGCGGTCTCCCGGCTGCTGGACCTCGCGAGCGAGGGGCTCGCGACGTCGTGCTGGGCGGGCCGCCGCGCGCGACCTGGGTCCGCGCGCGTTTCCGCCCAGATGGGCGGCCGCAGCTGAGGTCGCGGCGGGAGCTGCCAGGCCCGGCAGGCCTGGCGCCAGGTCAGCAGGCCAGAGTGACCGAGGCCAACGTTATCCTGTTCAATTTCCTCGGGCTCTGCGAAGCTATTCTCGCGCGATGGGGGGGGGGGGGGCGGCTTCTTTAGTGGGGCATCCGGCCGACCCCGGCCGTGCGCCTTATCTTATGATTTGGGTCCTAGATGGAGTCCTCGGGCTAGCTCTAGGGCTGGGATGCCAGTAGTCGAGTTACGCTGGTGTCTGTTTTGGGGGGTGGGCCAGAAACCTACAGGTCTCCTTTCCAACCTTCTCGGAATCTCTGAAGGCACCCTGGAGCGATGGGCGACGCGAACATGGGCGGTCCTATGGTCGTACCTCAGGTGGTTCGTCTGCAACCCGCCGCTTGCAGACGCGCCCTCATGGTTTCTGTCGATTCGTGGCTCTGGGCGTCGTCAAGACTTTGTCGTTTATAGGCGCGTGCGGCAGGGGCCCCGGGGGGCGGCGCAGAGCAGCTTCGCGGGTCGCGAGGACCGCGACTGGGAGCACGCTGGTCGGCGGCCCCTAAGGCGGAGCGCTGTGCCTCCTCAGCGAGCTCTACTCGAACTGCGGCCGCGTCCAGCCGCGCGAGAAGGACGCGGCCTGCTACGTGCATGCGGGCGACGGCGCGTGCAGTTCAGCCCGCGGGAGAGGCCAGCGAACCACGAGCCCGACCTGTGATGCAATCATGGTGCGGCTCGCCACTGCCTGGGAGGAGGCGGGCTTCGTGGCCCCCGAGAGGGCGCCGGCCTCCGAGATGGCCAAGGTGGTCGGGCCGACCCGCCGGCGCTGGCCATCGAGGCATCGAAGGCCGCCTTGCTGCAGGATGCCCTGTCTTGGGGTGGGCGGAATTGCCGCGCGGCGTCGGCGCGTGGGTCTGGTGG